CTATTCACGACTTATAATTTACATTACAGATCATTAGAAAGTGTAATTCTGCTTTTTTTCGCTTGGGTTCATCACTTAACGACAATGTGTTAAATGGACAGTATGAAAAACGCAAGTACTTTCTCAGTCATTGAACTTCACCTGACTTCGTCCTGCTGAAGTAGAGATGTAGATGCAAGAAAACTAGCGTCTACAATACGCCAGTATACTGTTATCAGTCTTGAGGACCCATGTTGCACTCGCCGTAACTGACAGGGGTGCATGTTTACAACGGAACACAACGTTCTCGCTTTAACGGTCCAATTTAATTCATTTGGTCACAGGGCTATGTCAGCAATGAGGCTGCTGGTGTTCGTGAGCTTGTTACTTAAGTGTCATTCGATGTTAGTCTGATCGTTCAAATACTGTTTTTCACTTTATTGAGTGTTATCGCAGGAAAACTCTTAGTGACGAATAATTATTGTCTCGTACTTTGATTATTGTGCTCATGTACTTTATACTGATTGCAACTGCAAAGGCTTATTACGGCAGATTGATTTATGCTTCGCAAGTGTCATGTGTATGATGACATGTCCCCTATTTATTTACACTCCTACAGCTACAGCAGTCAAACGAAACTGCGGCACAAAAATTTCACGTGTAGTTAGAACGAGGTGGGACTTCCTATCGAGAGAAGAAAGGATATGAAACTTCGTGCTGTTCTTAGATGGTCTTTCGATGGTCTAGTCTCTCTACTGTCTCTAGTCACTCCGGCCGCCTAAGACCTCGCGATGACAAACAAACAGAAACAAGATATCCGTTGGTACACTCCTGGACACCAGGAACGGACAGCCGGGCCAGTATCGCCGTACTACATGCAGCAGGTGTGGGGCCCAGGCCCTCGGGGGTCTTAACCTCCTCTCCCGGTCGTGAAATTTTGATTAGCAGCCCCCTTGCCTTGCCGGAGTACCACAGACCTCAGAGTTGAACAGTTGAAGAATCACAAAGGACTGATTGTTTTTTCGGTACTCTACTGAATTACCTGTCTCGTGTTCGTTGGCGGTGTGTTTTGCATTGCTTGTGTATCCTTAAGCGAGACATGTCTAAGAAGTTCACCTTTACTGTCCTACACCTCCTGCTATAACACGTTATTAACATGGACTAGTTTTATAGCTGCCTATCTGCAGGTGTTGCCCTCCCGTCTGTATCGTATACGTAGCCTGTCGAGAGACCGCGTGGGAGTCGCACTAGTAGCATAGCCGTGCTACTGGCAGCTGTCTCGTATGTCTTGTGAATGTGCTTAGAGCGCGCCCCAACTCGCTCAAGCCACAAGACCTAGCTGGTACGAAGCCAGGGTCGACGCAATCACTACTGGCGACGGTACCGGGGTTACAGTATGACTTTATAAGTCGTAAGAGAGCGGAACAAACTACTGCCGAGCTACTTACGAAAACCTTTTGTGAGTCACGTATAATAATCTTTTCCCTCTTCAGTAAGAAATCACTCACTCCTCATCTATAATTATATACATTACATCTACCTAAACATGTTCGATTATGAGAGCTTAAGGACACACAGTATATATGCCATATATTATATTGACAGTCACATGGTAGCTAAATGCTCTAGGCACTTCAGTGTTTTTTTAGCAAGTTCTAAAGTGATCTTACACCCACATTAGAACATGAAAGGGTGGGAACATCATGCAAGCTGTAATGAGACACACGAACTTGAGATATTTAAGTTGCCTTCTACAGCCTTCTGCTTAGTCCAAGCCAGAAGCCCTGTCCCCTGCAGCTCTGATTATCGAGAAAAAAGGCTTTCCTGAAAGATGTCTCCTAAAGTGTGCCTAGCTCTGTGCCTGCTGGCATTGGTCGTTCTTCCTCAGCTCCCGAATGTGGCTGCTGAAAACGAAGACCCCTACCTCCAGATGATGATGTATCAGAAGTACTTCAACAGCTCTGCACCACCTGTCTCCTTTCCCTCCATGTGGATGTGTGCCATCGTGTCCATGGGAGTGTTTGCCATGGCAAGGAGGGCCCGCTGACTCTCTTATACTGCCATATACAAAGACTGTATATACCTATATAATATCCCATTGTTGCATAGATAATGTGTGCTGTTTTGTAGTTCATTTCTACCATAAGTTTTTGTGATTTCAATATGACTGTGAAAAATAAACTTGTGATACTAATGGCTACTTCACGAATCGACCCATGAAATACTTCAGCGACATTGAATGTCTGATACCTTTTCTCTATGATAGGCCAGATCTGTGTGGCATAAAGCTTTGGTTTGTATAATTATAATTATATACATCACGTAAGCTGTTTGTGTCCTAGATAGCTTCATATCATCTATAGCTAGCTGATCTCAGCAGGAAGGTGTTGTCAATGCAAGCATATACACACAGTTTAGCTCTTCTATAAATAATATCTCGTGCATTAGTGTACACACAAAATATCCTCTCAGAGATGGAAGACAAAGTCGTGTATAATAATTGTGTACTAAAAGCTTGACTCAATGCACAGAAGTAGCCATACAGACACCAATATTGTGTAGTAGGGTATATAAAGTCCCTAATTCAAGCATAACAAACGTATATAGGTGATCCCTTGTCTCCCTTTCACCAAGTGGTTAAGATGAGGGTGCGTGTGGCTGTGGGTCTGTCGGTGCTTTCGCTGGTTCTGTTCTGTCTTCTACCGAGCACAAGTGGAGGTGGAGATGATAACAGCTATGACGACCCCTACTGGCAGATGATGATGTATCAGAAGTACTTCAACAGCTCTGCACCACCTGTCTCCTTTCCCTCCATGTGGATGTGTGCCATCGTGTCCCTGGGAGTGTTTGCCATGGCAAGGAGGGCCCGCTGACTCTCACATACTGCCATATACAAAGACTGTATATACCTATATAATATCCCATTGTTGCATAGATAATGTGTGCTGTTTTGTAGTTCATTTCTACCATAAGTTTTTGTGATTTCAATATGACTGTGAAAAATAAACTTGTGATACTAATGGCTACTTCACGAATCGACCCATGAAATACTTCAGCGACATTGAATGTCTGATACCTTTTCTCTATGATAAGCCAGATCTGTGTGGCATAAAGCTTTGGTTTGTATAATTATATATACATCACGTAAGCTGTTTGTGTCCTAGATAGCTTCATATCATCTATAGCTAGCTGATCTCAGCAGGAAGGTGTTGTCAATGCAAACATATACACACAGTTTAGCTCTTCTATAAATAATATCTCATGCATTAGTGTACACACAAAATATCCTCTCAGAGATGGAAGACAAAGTCGTGTATAATAATTGTGTACTAAAAGCTTGACTCAATGCACAGAAGTAGCCATACAGACACCAATATTGTGTAGTAGGGTATATAAAGTCCCTAATTCAAGCATAACAAACGTATATAGGTGACCCCTTGTCTCCCTTTCACCGAGTGGTTAAGATGAGGGTGCGTGTGGCTGTGGGTCTGTCGGTGCTTTCGCTGGTTCTGTTCTGTCTTCTACCGAGCACAAGTGGAGGTGGAGATGATAACAGCTATGACGACCCCTACTGGCAGATGCTGATGTATCAGAAATACTTTGGTTCTGCGTCGTCTGCGTGCCTTCCTTCTGTGTGGGCCTGTGCTCTCGTGTGTCTTGGCGTTCTTCTAATGCAGCGGCCCTGAGTGTTCACTTGTAGCTAGTAGCTACCTGCTGCTGAAAACATAAACTTTTAGCATTGTGTGCTATTTGAGTTGACCTGTATCATACTTTGATTTCTCTGATATAATATAATTATTGTGATAATTATGTTACACCCAACGAGGAAGTGATAATAATTTATATCAAACCGTGACAAAAACCTCGAAAAAAATCTACATAGCCAAGATACTATGTGCAAAATGGATTTTTGCTGTGGCTAAGTGACATTCTGTGCCATGTAGAGATAATGAACCATAATGGACTGGTGATGTCCAAGAAAGAGGTCCCTGATCTAAGATACAAGATTTAGACATTATTATACATAAATGCACTCCCCCATCAGTGCTGCAATTAACATCCTCTGCTGATAAACGACACACGTGTCCTCCAGAATATAAACCAGAGGACTTGAAATTTGAGCATTCTTTGCAGCTTTTTCGTTTATCTCTTTCAGAGATCTCGAAGCAGCGAGACTACCTACTGTATAGCAACACGACCAAGATGAAAATAAAGGTGCTTCTTATTCTGGCGGTCACTACCTTTTGTCTGGTTTCAAGTGCAAAGGAAGGCAGGGCTGCTGACGATGAATGGCTACCCTACTTCATCATGATGTCTGGAGCAGGGGCTGCCCCAATTTCTCTCGCCCCTACTGTCCTCATCAGCATTTGTGTTGGAGCTCTCTTGTTCACTAACTTCCTTGGCTCCAGTGGACAGCAATCTCAGAAGTCTTAGAGCCACACAGCGAAAGAGAACTATATTCACATGCATACAACAAAGTAGTGTTCTTGTGTGACTTTTTCTTATGCTTAGTAGCCTCTTTTGTGTAAGTCTTTTTGTAACCATGAAACACAATAATATTATACTTGTGTTTTTCAATACTTTTTCGTTGACCTATATATGCCTCGGTTTCACGTGTACGGTCGCATTAGTATACTCTAGCACTTTAGGAATAAGTTTCAAAGTTCTCAATAATCAGTAAGCGTACTGTACTTCTCAGCTGAAGTAATGACCTAAGAGTCTCCAGTTGGGTATGTAGCCACTTAGACGAAAGACGAAATTTCCACATTTCGACTGGGCCTAATAAGGCAGCATGTGCAGATAACTCCAGAACGACAATGATGAGAAAGTTATCATTGTACATCTGTGTACATTCTGTATTGAACAGTGTTGCTGGTCACTCCTTCACAAAAACCCCAGCTGTATTCAATGTTGCACTCTCCCTTGTGACGCTGCTACAGTTTCACTCCCACTCGGGAAAAACCACATATAACCTGCTTCAGCTTGTATATAGCTGTAAGCCTTTCAGAAAAGGAGCTACAGTTACAAATCTGGAAGGACTGCCTCTAGCTATACATCTTAGTCTGTGTGGAGCAAAATGAAGACTATGTCAGCGGGTGCGATAGTGTTCCTGGTGCAGATCGTGCTAGTCAGCTGTGGAAATGACTACAATAATGGCGGAGACTACACGGACAACTGTGCATACTTGTGGATGATGATGCAGAATAATGGATTCCCCGTGGCAGGACTGGGCCCACTGCTCCTTGTGTGTCTCAGTATAACTGCCTTGGTGGCCTCTACTCTACTGACAGCTACTTAGACGGAATTAGTCACCACGATAATAATATTATACACAATATAAAACTGATTTAGCATTTTCATACTTTTTGACTTGCGTTTATTATTCATTATTATGCTAAAAATTTGCTCTCTAACTAGAATCCGTGTGAAACGTGTCAATGCAGATACGTCTTGAATTAATGGTGCTAAGCATGCTGCTAACATTATTGAACATAGAAACATGAAACAGTTATCAACTACAGAGGATCAAACATGGAAAAGCTATCAAAACTGATGGGAAAACTCAGCATTTTAAACGACAGTTTTAGCTAGTTTCACTGACTTATATTATGTTGTGTATAACCAGGGATCATTATTTCCTTTATGCCAAAAGAAAAGGGGTGCATTACATATTATGCTTGAATTGCAAACATGGAAAAGCTATCAAAACTGATGGGAAAACTCAGCATTTTAAACGACAGTTTTAGCTAGTTTCACTGACTTATATTATGTTGTGTATAACCAGGGAGCATTATTTCCTTTATGCCAAAAGAAAAGGGGTGCATTACATATTATGCTTGAATTGCCTTTTTCATACTATTATGTCAAGCTCTAATTGTTTTACACCCTACATATCAAGTGCAGATGCGATGCTCAATATTCACCAATATGTTTGTAACCTGTGCAATTAATGTTTCGTTGTACTTCAACACCACCCCCCACACAATATCCTGCACACATATATAGCCTCAGTGCCGAATCCGAATCACACGTTTGAAGAACACATCTTCCTAAACTGAACCTTCGCCATTGCCAAAGTGAACAGTATCCAGCTAGGCAAAATGAAAGGAGTATTTGTTGTAGCAGTTTTGACTGTACTCGTATCCCAGATGAGTCTTGGTTATGGAGATGACGGTTCAGATGAAGTGGACTTGAAGGCCCGCCAGTACAACTGTCCCTACTACTATATGATGAATAACAGCGGGCCTCCTACGGTGATGGGGCTCAGTCCATGGCTCCTACTGTGTCTGGCTGCAGGAGCTATGGCCGTCTCCACTGACTACTTCTCTCTCGGAGTCCTCATTTCCAAGAATACCCAAAGACTTTGAGCCACATAGTATAGCTTACACATTATAGCTAACAGGGACTTTGGTTAACCGGGACTTTATCTACTCCGTTTCAGTTTGTGTAATACCGCTTTTGTGTTTCATAAACTTTTCTCTATCATAAGTTGATGAATGATAGTGCTATATAGAATATATATATATAGCAAAGGGTCGGAAGCTATTAATTTTGTTAGTTCAGTTCAATGCCTGAATGATGTATCTGGCACACTCTGATACCTGCAACCACCACACAAACAGACACCTGTCAATACCGACTCTTTATAATGAGACACGGTTTTCGGCCTTTACACATGCGACTTATGTATGACGTCATGTCTATGAAGTATATTATAATTATTGTCTGTGTGTGTTTACAAACAAGGACTAGTCCGTATTTAAAATATCCCAAGCTCTAGGACACCTATACTTTACCTCAGAAGTATTGGCTGAGGTACAGTGAGAGTCTACCAGTGCTCTGAGATTGTCGGGAATGGCAGCAGACAAGACCCTAGCTTTCTTGGCCATCACCTGCACAACACAACAGTTGAATGGGCCGAGAGGAATATGGGAGATATCTATCAGCACGCACCAAACCTCCAAGGCCAATAAGTGTTCTTAGCTTTGCTTGTGGGTCAAAAGAAGTCTTGAGCACCTGTTTCAATGACATAATTTATACGAGTTCTGGTGAATTTGAGTGTTTGAAAACCTTTACTGCTAGTCGTGTACAGTCTGTCATGCCGTCTTCCTGCCCCATCTTGTGGTAATATATGCAGTAACTATATACACAGACAGTAGCATTATGTCACACAATAGTTTTAGTGGTGTGTTTTACTTCAGAAGGACAGTAGAGAGCGCCACTTGGTGAGTTTTAGAACCGACACTCAAAAGTGGCTCCATCTGTGACAATACCTGGTCGGCCAAACAGATTAATACTTCACCTTAGCCAAATATGTAGCACCACTTTAATGTTTAATGCTCACCCTCTGTTGCCCCTATACTTAGCACTATAATTATTACTCAGACTCCCATTGTTGAACACAAGAACAGCAGAGGTACAGATAGCGTGTCTCACCCACTTTCTCTGCCCGTCCATTAGCCTCTGTCCATTATCTACGGAGAACATGTTTGCCAGACATCGCAGGACAAGGAGCTGGTTTTTTGACTGAGCCTGAGAGCCCCTACAGATTTCGTGTAGGAAAAGAGGCTCCCCATTCAGAGTAGCACATGATGGAACAAGTGAACACGATAATAGCCAGTGAGGTATTATATACACGGAAATGGTTTGTCGTTTAGAGAGCACGTTTTCATGTAATTTTGTTTTTTCCTATTCATTTGGCTTTGTGGCAACTACCCAGAGATGTCAGTGTACAAGGGAGATTGCTTGCAGCTTTAGGCAAATAAACCACATACTACTTTGATATGTATGTGCAGTGCACTCGTCAGTTGTGATGTATTGTTGTTTCAGCTCTCTATTTGGAGTTGCGCTGTTAATTGGCACGCAAAGCAGGCGTACCCAGTCATCTAAATGTGCGATATTCCTTGAACGTAACCCTGCAAAACCACACTCGGTCGTCAATCTAGCATATATTTATTTGAGGGCAAAGACTGCCAGACTAACAGTATATACGTGATCCTCTTACACGGCTAAGGCCAACAGCTCTCCAAGGAACACCTTCCCACCGTCCTCGTCATCCACAAAGTACTTGCAGCCGCACTTGTTCAACAGGGCCAGTCTCAAGATGTCTAATCCTGTATGCACATTACACACGGCAAAACCTTTTTTCAACGACTGCAAAAATCTAGTATGTACAGTAGCTGTCTACTAGGAATAGAAATATTTTCGTGTCCCCCCAATAGGATAGAACCCATGTGGCATGATCATACAGTGTGGTATACTGTTGTAAGACTATACTGGCCAAGACTGCAGCTATAGAGCCTATAATCAACTTAAGTCAAGATGTCAGCCACACTATACGAGATGCATATCTTCTACCAGGTATGACCAAGTGTATTAAGATAAGATGTATTGGGGTGTGTGCGTGTGTACCTGGAAAGACATGGTCAGGGGGCCAATGGATGATTCTGTCTATGAGCTGCAAGTCAGCCGGAGCTACTGTGACACTGTGTGCTCGTGGTGATGTTAGACTGGAGCAGAGACCTGTGCAAACATACAGAGCAACACTTAATAGTCAGAGAACGGAGGTAGATGCATAATAATAATTGAAGGGGTCAGAGCCAGAGCGAGCCAACCCTCAATATACAACTCTTGCCGGTTTGTTCTATAAGGACATATTTGAAGGAAAACCGGCAAGAGTTGTATATTGAGGGTTGGCTCACTCTGACTCTGACCCCTTCATTTATTATTGGAAAGACTAACAAAGATCCCAAATCGCACATGTCGCAATCTGCACCAAAGCCAAGAAAGTAAACTGTGTGCATAAACGATCATATCATATACACATCACAACTCAAAGAGAAGAAATGCAACAAAGAGAAAGGCAGATCCATCATTACACATGTGTAGCACATTACTCAATGACATGAACTAACTCATTACGTAATCTATAGTTATCGATACATGGACGCAGAAATTTGTCAGACTCAGTCAGAGAGAGTTCAGAAAGAGATGAGTTGAGAAAAGGAAGTCAAGTAAAGCGTAAGGCTGCCACACATGCTCAACAACTTAGAGAAGTGAACCTATTTTCTTGCACATGTAATACGGACACAGGCATTGACACATTAGTGTAGATTGACTGCAGGTCTATCATTAGGCACTTGGGCAGATTAAGCACTTGTTCAAAATGGCCTGACACATTGTTCTCAAGTTCCCATTGCGTGTCGCGGAAATGTAGCAAAGAGCAGCTACAACTAAATTACCGTGACATCTTGTCAGTTCCTCCGCCTTAAGCTGTCTTGTCTGTAATAGATGCATCATATTACACTACTCTATGCCGATGCACTCTCATTGTACAGACCTGGTCCAAAGCCCCGTTAAACTCTCTAATCTTCCCCATCACTTTGTCAGCATAGTCACTGGGACTACCGAACAACTTGTACTCTTTCTGGGAAATGAACACGGTGTTGGTCACAAACAACTGCACATACGGACGGGTATGGTGCATTGTAAGAACAGAGAAAATAATAGAGTTTGCACACACCCCCAAGATATATTATACAGTAACACTATAGGAACACAATGTCATGTCATTATGGCGGGTTGTCAACATTAAAGAGTGAGTTAGTTTTGGCACTAATCACTCGCCATATGTCACAAGATATGAATGCATGTCTTGCCACAAGGGATACAGATGTGGGCAATGGTATTTGTGACACTGTATGAGCATGCAAGCTTTCACTCACCATTGGGAAGTATGCGTTGGTGCTCTGTAGTCTACTGCCGGTGAAATTCACAGAGATCTGGGGCTGTGGAAAAATACACCATACACCAGACTACTACTAGACGTGATTGGTGAAACTTGCAAACCTGTGCTTGAGAAAACTCCCGTGGCCTATAGCTGTTTCCCCCTTCAGAACAGAGAGTTTTAACACAGTCAACAAAACATAACAGAAAGGCTACACGGGTCCTACTTAAAGCCTATACTTCATTGCCTGCATCATAGACAACAGTGGCAATAATGGGCAACCTTCATTAGCTATACTTCACTACCTGTATGATAGAACGATCCTCACTAGCCACATACTATGTATGGTTATGCATGCACATAAGTGATTCAGACACCTGTGAAAGGATCAGCCCCGCCTCCAGAGGAGCTTGGCCCCACCCCCAGCTCCCGGCCACTGCTGCTGGCACTGGGACGGTACCTGGACCCTCCTGCAGTCAGTTATAATGACACACACTGTAGCCTAGTGATACAACATAAAGTCTGATCAGCTAAAGTCTCAAAATGTATGGGTATCATGACTTTATGTGGCGGAACTCCCGCATTCACACAACCCAACAAGCTTTAGTTCTATTGGTCCTATGGACCTTCTTCAGACAGTACAAGTCAGGCAGGGTGATGCAGAGTACATGGAGTTGGCTTCCTTTAAGTGTGGGTATCATTGTATGGTAGGCCTTACAACACACAAAGTTGCATGAACTATCTATCAGAGCAGAGGTGACGGGCTGTACCAGTGAAAGGATCCTGTGCCCCACCAGTGTCTGAACCAGTCCCAGAGCCTCTCTGGACTCCACTGCTCGGAACATAGCGGGCTCCACCTACATATGGATAATAATAGAATCGTGCACACACACACACCAATAGGTTTAACCCATGTACTCGTACTTTTGAGTAGTATTTGGATTTTGTGGCAAAAGAAAAAAAAAGAGAAGAGTCAGCGGCCTTGTCTATAAAGATGCACATTGCAGGCATATGAGCAGAAGAATGCAAAACCAACACCAAACCCCTATCCATATCTCACTCTCTCTAATCTCGCTGTCCCTATCCCTCTCCTTTAAAAAGAGTTTTAACGAGTTTTTTTTGGAAGAGCGTGGCAAAGAAAAGACAAACCAACCATCCATAATACTAGGGCTATAGCTGGAGTACGGAATAGTAACATATGTAGCATCCGTACACTACATGCAGACTTCTTATTCATGACTCATTACGTAACCTTGTGATTCGTATAAAAAGTGTGTGCACGTGGAAAGAGATCAGATTTTCAGTCAGATTCAAAGAAAGAGATGAATGGCCATTCACGCAGTGTACCCCCTCCCAAAAGAGTTTAACAACTTGGGCGCATTTGTTGGGAAAAAAACGTAAGTGGAAGGAACAATAGTATAAGTGACATTAGAGCTACTCTACCAGTGAAGGGGTCAGCTGGACCGCTGGCAACAGGCCCCTGGTACTCCCCGGCATTCTGTACGATAAACTCTGCCACTTGGTCCAGGTACATCTCAGGTAGACCATTGGCCTCTAGGAACTCCATTGCAGCCACATACGGATCAGCTGAGGTGCAAAAAACACCACTATAACCATGCATCATCATAGAACATATGCATGAGTACAGTTCAGATTATATCAGGTAGACCATTGGCCTCTAGGAACTCCATTGCAGCCACATACGGATCAGCTGAGGTGCACAAAACACCACTATAACCATGCATCATCATAGAACATATGCATGAGTACAGTTCAGATTATATCAGGTAGACCATTGGCCTCTAGGAACTCCATTGCAGCCACATACGGATCAGCTGAGGTGCACAAAACACCACTATAACCATGCATCATCATAGAACATATGCATGAGTACAGTTCAGATTATATCAGGTAGACCATTGGCCTCTAGGAACCCTATATACATACCAGTCAGCTGTGGAGCACAGCTCTCTAGTGGTATAACACCTCACTACTAATCCTATCCATGCACCACAGAACATTATGCAGAGCACAGTTCCTACATCAGGTTGACCATTAGCCTGTAGGAACCCTATATACATATCAGTCAGCTGTGGAGCACAGCTCTCTAGTGGTATAACACCTCACTACTAATCCTATCCATGCACCATAGAACATTATGCAGAGCACAGTTCCTACACCAGGTTGGCCTAGTCTGTATTCAAGCTGCATATCTGTCGCAACATTAGACCTTTGGTGGCAAGACATTGATTAATTGACATCTCGCTAATCATGCACCATAGAACATGCATAGTACGGAAGAGAACGAACAGTGTAGCAGTAAGACATGCGATGAAATTGCAGTGCAGACAACTGACTGTCTTTGTTGTAAGGGAGTTTCAATTTCCTCATAGTAGGACCACCTTCGTCCAGTTCTATGTCAAACACATAGTCATACTCCTAAGAAATGGCAATAGCACGCAGCATAGATTCAATTGCCAGTGTATACCGTCTTACCTGTCCCTGGTAGACAGTAGACTCGGGAGCCTTGCTTATTGCATCTCCTATCTATGCACGAAATGTATGATGCACAAACTGGACTAATGGCTACAATGGCTAAACCTTATCCCACTGATGTAAGTCTGCATTCCACTGGGAGAAAAAAAGAGCAATAAGTATTTCAATATACTCCCAACCTAAGCAGCATGTATATTGTACCTGATACACTTCAGCAACTCCTCCATTGTTAATCATAAGAGTCTGTCCCGGTTTCTGGCCTGAGAAATTGCACAGAGTTTCGGTCTACACTGAGCTCAAAAGAAACCCAGTATACTACCATACTACCACTGTGTATATGGTGCAACCTCTGAATAAAGGACACCTCTCCATAAGGGACACTCGATTCTGCCTCAAACTATTCGTACATTAGTGTGTTATACTCAGAATAAAGGGCGCCTCTGAATAAAGAACACTTTTTCAATGTCCCCAATGTCTCCCTTATTGATAGGCTTCACCGCGTAGCAGTTAACAACATAACAGTATATGGTGCATGCATTAACCATCTGAGGCGAGAGCTTCCGGGCCAGGCAGAGATGACACATCAATATCACTCTTCTTTGACCGCCTACTGAAAAGGTACATATGACATTGTAAAGTAAGTTTGTTGGTTGAAATACTGTGTTCTTACCGATGTTCTTCCATCTTGCTTTCATAGTTCTTGTGCAGATAGAAACATCAGTTACATGTATACACAACTTGCTAGAACTAGTCAGTTTAACTCACTGCGATGACCTCGGGTGAGGCAATCGTTTGAGGATCAACTGAGAAAATCCTAACAACTCCGTCACTGCAGGAGTAACAAGGTATAGAGGTCTTGAGCGGGAGTAATTAAAACACACGTTTCCATAGCAATGGCGGTCATCTCGGAGAACAAATTACACAGCTAAAAACGCACACAATTGACCTCCAAGATGGGCCGATTTCCAGAAAATATGCAAAGTCTTTATTCAGTGGGACCGCAGGTATAATATTGGCATTGGCCTCACCTGGATCCTGTCACTATGTCCTGATTGTCCAGACAGCAAACGCTCCACACAGACGTAGCGGGTATACCAACCACCTGCCTGCACGAACCACCTGCATTTTAACATGGTACAAGGGAGTCAATGAGGTTAACTGACAATGATGATAAGGACAAGATGAGGTTGATAGAGGGGTTTCTATATAGATAGGTAGAGGCAAGGGAGAAAATTCCATAATCTAACACAGGTAAATCAACTCATCCCCTCATTTTTAACCCTCGGCGCACATGTCCAGAAAGGGTTACAGTACTTGGTCTGTCTGTCTGTCCACTAGCTATTCTGGCACTACGGAGGATGAGGCAGCCAAGAACGGCTTCAGAACTACGCAAGCCGGAGAAATAAAATGGTGACTCTATCTTCTTGCACCTCTCCCTATCTAGCTTCACCAATCCCTCTTTCACCTGTATTGCACTGTGGTGCCAACCCACCCCCACCCCCAACCTCTAATGAGGGTGTCAATTATTTTGCATTTTTGTATAATTATGTGATATGATCGTAACAATTATTGTAGCACCTCTCCAGACTCGAACGGAGGAGTCTTCTCCACTGGAGACCACCTCCTCACCAGACGTCCGTGGGATCAGACACACACTGAAGATTGATGCAATTTATGAGGGACATAATATTATGGTGGAATCCCACGTAAGGACACCCCTGAAATGAGGACACCCGGCATTTTTCTTTCCCAAAGAACGGTTCTTGCACACATATTTAAAAGTGCACACTTTCTTCTGTTTGATTTGTGTCCACATTGGAGGGGTTCCGATGCATATATAACACCAGAGCAATTTCAAAGATCAAGTGAACCAATCTACATAATGTAGGTAACTTCCACGAAATGTCTTACCTGTAAACGTATGCTTGATGGCCGTACATTTCACTCAGACACTGTCCACTGTGCAAGTTCCACCTCCGAAGAGAACTGCGTGGAAAAAATTTTTTTTTCAGCCCCAAAAAATAGATCATTCACGGTAATCATCATAGTTACCATACAAAGTAGAACTCCGATAAAAACACAATAAAAAAGGAGGTTTCAAACTAACCTCCCCGAAAGGACAAAATTCCTGGTCCAAATGTGCCATTATTCGGAGATTCCACGGTATACATACTGTGTACTGTGCCCATTCATTGTACTTAGTGATAACCTGTCATTTGCTGCAGAGATGAAGAACTGGTGTGACACGACCTTTATGTCCCTGACCACATCGCCGTGGCCTGAATACTCTTGAAGACAGACTCCCGAGTCAACCTCCCATAACTTCACTTTATGATCTGCTCCACCTGCAGTGAGTCAGTCGAGTGTACGCATTAAACGGAACGTGGCGGTATTTTATTATGAGGGCTAAATTTACTAGAAAATGTTCCTAAAACGGAAACCTTATAGCATTCTTCCACTGTTTAGTTCCATCTTTAATGACGTTTCTGCGCCAATATTCTTGGTTGGCTAGGATGCTCTTAAAGCTACTAACTACTTACTACTAAATCTCCCAAATATTTATACTTTTTTCGCTTGCTGAACAGAAGTGGCTTTTCTACAGCTGAAAAGTCAGTATGGCTAGTGTAGTAGAGTAGTGGTTACAGTTGCCAAGGCTCTTCTTGCCTGATAGTATTCTCCGGGTGCCGTCGTGTCTGAAGAGGCCGGCAACCGTCCACACTGCTGGTGTGTGAGCCTTGAATGCCGAGCTCTGGCCTCCACTTTTCCACACACGAACAAAACTACACAGATTGCAGTATACAGTGGAACCCCTCTCTAAGGACACTAGGAAACCTCCCTAAAAAGGGCACCTTTTCTTTTAAAACAAGGGCACCTCATTCATACAGATACTTCCTTCCGTTTTACTGGTGTCCGGATCAGAGGGGCTCTACTATTAAGTACAGTGGCAGAACATTACATATGTATGGGTAGTATAATATACTATACTTTCAGTGCCATCTCCCTCATTTGCAGCGTGACTGACTGTGCACTAAGGTTACTCTCAACTGCATACCTGTCCCACGACCCTGACACCAGCTGGCCATGTTGGTGTGTGATGGTGGTCACCAGAGCTGTGTGCCCCGTGTACCGCTCCAAAGGCTCCTCCACCTCTGGTGACAGAGAGTGCACCAAGACAGTCGCATCCTGGCTCCCCGTCGCAAGCAGAGCTGCAGTGTGTTTGTTTGTAGATGAACATGCTTGTTTTGTGACACAACAAAAACGGAGAGTTTGAGTGCGCATGTATACACAGCTGCTGCAGTTTAGGTGCGCACTAAATGGAACAAGAGCTCACGTTCGAGCCTGCCCGCCTGGGCGTCCGGTGGAATGACACACAGCGCAGAGACGTATCCAGTGTGCTTCCGGATAACTTTGTGGAGGAGATAGTCTTTGTTGGAGGAAGGGTCGGGTCTCCAAACGCACGCGGTCCCGTCCCGAGAGCCGGTGACGATGTGCTCGCGGGACTCTCCCGCCAGTAGGACACACGAGACTGCCCTCACGTCCGCCGAGTGGCCCAGGATCTCGCACGACAGCGAGTACCTCTTCTCCCCTTCTTTTGCCATTCCTCGTGCTTGTGCGCATGCGCTCTTTGTCAGCAGTGTGAGGATAATAAAAAAAATTCACACACAAAATCCGGTGTAGAGTGGTGGGGGAGGACACAAACCATAAATTTTACGCAAACACATAAAATATGTATGTCAGGTTTTCAGCAAGTTTTTTTGGAGCAGTTTACGTCAGCTCTTCTTTAGTGGACAGCTTCCCATAGGGCAGCGTCTCCAGACCAACCTCCTTCGCTTTGCTGTGAAACAACAACCAACAGCATCAAGCTTTGAATCTTGCCCCAAAACTATCTCACTGTCATTCTTAACATTCCTTTCCTATTATTTCCTTGTCGTTTCTTTCACACTAAGCATTCAGGACACCACAAACAGGACAATATTGAAAATGCCGACCTGTGTCCAGGGGTTACGGATGTACGGGTCTTAGAGACCAGATAGACCACTGCAGCAAGGGCCACAGCAACAACCATCACGGAGGCTACAGCGGCCACAGTCACCACCCCGGCAATTGCTCCACCAGACAGGGAGCTATCAGTGTCGCTGTCACTGCTCTCATTTGGCTCAGGTCTCTCTTCACCAACTATCAACAGAGGGCATTGCATTCTCAGTACTATATATTAAAAAGTACACTACATTCGGCGTATAAGGAACATACTACAAAGCTATTTCAACGTAGCACTATATTGTGTGCAAGGTATATAACACTCTTTGAACTTTGTAATGGTCCTGAAAGGTATATTGTCCTGGGGATTGTTAAGAGACAATTGTCTCTCACAAATGTGGTAGCAGGCAATGATGTGTGGCGTACCAGAGCGGACTGCAGCAACGTCGTGGTTCAACTCTGACGGATTGTCCATCATGATGCCCACCAGACGCTCAGGAGATCCCTCTCTGGCTACTGAACCTCCTTCAAATCGGAGCACAACGCTGTACACAACAAAAGCCTCCAATAATCAATGTGTGTTATAGATGGGGTACGAATCTGTTATAGCTCACACAGCAGAGCCATCCTCTGTCTCCAGTGTTGCAAAGAGCGACACGGACACATCTTCAAAGCCGAGTTGCTTGACTAGTTTCTCCACGTCATCGGCAAACTGATTTCCATTGACATCTCCTCTGTTTATGTTGACCAGTGTCACCAGCAACAACACTGAGTCTGATGGCTAGAGAATCAATGAGATACAACTTCAATTCATACGGTATTCCAGCCGAACTCTATCTCACCACTGGTAAGGGATTTAGATCCGGTTCATCTGTAGAGAAAACTCTATAGTCATTGCACTCTCTGTTGGAAGATGCAGAGGTTACTACTTACTTGTGAGGAGGGAGAAGCACTCCAGAGGATCCACGCAGCGGTCTCTGAACACTACTAATCCCTGAGGACACACGCAGTCAGGTGGCCCACATATCTCAGGGCAGGCCAGCCGTGTCCCTGTGACGTAGTCCTCACAAGTCCTCTGGCAGAGAGAGCCACAGGGATTGAGCACCCACCCAATGGGGCAAGACTCGGGCGCCGCTGGTAGTTTGAAAAAGGGATAGATAATAGTTATTTCTACATTCATTTCCCTGTGAGAGAAAAATTGCATATAGGTCAACATTTCATAATAATATAGGTATATAGGGATGCACACTAACAATAGCATGTCAGAGGGTAGCTATTGTGCATTGTTTACCAGGGACATCGGTGCATGCTGTCTTGAAGCAAGGCTCCAGGAGTTGGTTGCAGTCCTCATCTTTCCTCTCGTAGTAGCAGACCTGCTCAGGAGGACACCCTCCGTTCTCCAGGTAGCAGGACTGGAGACAGTAGCGAATGTTAGTTGTGTTGTGAGTCACACAGCGATAGTCCTCAGGACAAGGAGAAAAATGGGGCTCCCCAGAACCACCAGAACATGGAACTGGTAATAATATACACTAGGGCATAACAGACAACTAGATAATGACATGGTATAATGTACCGGCAATGGGGTCTTTGCACATTGCATACTCAAAGTCCGCTGTATGAACTCCAACACAGGACTGGCCTTCTTGACAATAACTGCAGCCTGGACCCCAAACAGGATACAAATGAATCACACATGTTCATAAACCATGCTTCATATTATATCCCATCCCTATCCTGTTTCCGGGCCTTTTTATACCATTCAAACTTTGCAGGATTTTATCACACGAAGTCTGGAGAGTGAAATGACACTGCAGTAGAAAGGTAAGTCTCACCTGCACAGGTTGTGTTGTCAACGCACACTCCGTTGAGATCCACCTTCCCCTCGGGGCAGAAGCACCCGCGGACACACTGTCGCGTGCAGAACGGCGGCTCCTGGTAGTTGTCGCACGTGAGAGGACACGCGGTCCCACACTCCCTCCTTTCCTTCCCTCCGCTGCAAGTCCCAGGACACTCCTCCACCGCCACGCACTTTCCTTCGTGTTCCACCGTTCCCTCGGGGCAAAAGCAGCCAGAGAGACAGACTGTAGCACACACGGAGACTTCATCATAGTTGTTGCAGGTCTTGGTACACGGCGAACCACACTCCTCGTACTCATAAGTATCAGGACAGCTTTCTACAGAGTCAGGGACAGTTAGTTAAAACAACATATGTACGTGTAAGCCATTGTTTCAACTAACGTGGATTGGTAGGGCATTCATCAGTAGAGATGCAAGTTTCTTCATGTTCAACTGTTCCGTCGGGACAGAAGCAGCCAGATTGACAGACTGAGGTACAGAACGGCGGATTTTGATAGTTTTCGCATGTCTTAGCACATGGTGAACCACACTCATTGTACTCGTAGGTGTCAGGGCAGCTTGCTGCAGTGAAAAAGTTATGATCAAAGTGGATTACAAAATGGCAGCCACAATACATGGCTAGGAGACATGCATACACAAAGAAGTGACTGCTAAACAGAAGGTCTCAGTGCAGTTCTGGTTCATTTCAAGAGCAGTCAGTAACTTACTGGTAGTGGTTGTAGGACAATCCTCAGTAGAGATGCAAGTTTCTTCATGTTCAACTGTTCCGTCGGGACAGAAGCAGCCAGATTGACAGACTGAGGTACACAAGGGCGGATTTTGATAGTTTTCGCATGTCTTAGCACACGGTGAACCACACTCCTTGTACTCGTAGGTGTTAGGGCAGCTTGCTGCAGTGAAAAGCAAAGTGGATTTTAAAATGGCAGCTACAAAATAGGGCCAGGAGACATGCATACACAAAGAAGTGACTGCTAAACAGAGGCTCTCAGTGCAGTTCTGGTTCATTTCAAGAGCAGCCATTAACTTACGGGTGGTGGTTGTAGGACAATCCTCAGTAGAGATGCAAGTTTCTTCATGTTCAACTGTTCCGTCGGGACAGAAGCAGCCAGATTGACAGACTGAGGTACACAAGGGCGGATTTTGATAGTTTTCGCATGTCTTAGCACACGGTGAACCACACTCCTTGTACTCGTAGGTGTTAGGGCAGCTTGCTGCAGTGAAAAGCAAAGTGGATTTTAAAATGGCAGCTACAAAATAGGGCCAGGAGACATGCATACACAAAGAAGTGACTGCTAAACAGAGGCTCTCAGTGCAGTTCTGGTTCATTTCAAGAGCAGCCATTAACTTACGGGTGGTGGTTGTAGGACAATCCTCAGTAGAGATACACTGACTGTTGTGTTCCACTGTTCCACTGGGACAGAAGCAGCCAGATTGACAGACAGCAGTGCAGAATGGAGGGTTTTGGTAGTTGTCACATGTCAGTGCACAGGGAGAGCCACATTCCTTGTACTCGTACTTTCAGGGCAGGTTTCTGTGAGAGAGCAACACCATCACATCCACTCAGCAATAATTTGTGCAGCATAGGTTTAAGTAGCTATGCACATTGATTGGGGTATATATGCCCATTGGGTGTTATTTGCATGCCACTTATTCCCAGAGGTATGTACATGGACAATGGTAAGGCGTGATCGATGCACAGGCCACCATCCGAGAGGGAAAGAAGCAGGCCACACGGACATAATATTATCTCAAAGTAATGTTACTAAAAGACAAACACTGGTGGCAAGCTTACTGAATAATGACTTAGGCTCAATCATAAAGGTGACGGTGGCTAGCTATGTGCAGCTTTCCTAGGTCAGGTCACAAAACCGTATACTGACGTGCTGTATGTCAATATCTAGGTATAGATGCGTAGGCATGTGTGAACATTTAACAGTCCATGGCAACGTTGTTTTCACGGTATCCAATGACAGATGAAATATTTTCCTCCTACACTGTGAATTTTAAAGATGCACGGTAGAGTAAAATCCACAGGTAGCAAGACCAGGCACCAAGCGCACTCACTCCCTTTTAATATTTTTATGTATAATATTATGCTGCTTTGAGATCAGTAGACTCTTAGTCCATTCTGTTGTGGCTGCAGTAACTATAGCTAGCCACAGTAGTTAGCATGTCAAGACTTACGAAACTATTATCTCATTGGAGAATACGGAATAACATGGACAGCTCTTCTTCTTTTCTCTGAAAAGAAAGAGCTGCCTTGGGTGTACTTGTTTGCCTTACCTTGCCTTTCTACCCCGTTACCAAGTTGTTGATACATTACACATTGGCTCTCTGACTGTCTGCAAAGCACGACGCTCGGCTACGTTCACGCTGCATCATTGCGTGATAGCTAAACATGGATCACTCACCGTCTTGGCTGCTTACGACTCCCAAATAACACAGGAGACACGCATACACGAGATATCTAGCAGCCATGTCGCTGGATCTCAACGAATTCTGGGCTCTTTGCACTGACACAGTCAGCACAACAAATCCGGGGGCGTGGCTTGGTACGCTTGGTGCTCTGCGCATGCGTAAAAACGAAGCGCATAGCTGTGATCTGACTCACCATCAGAATGGGAGTGAAGGGAATGCTTCAGAGCCCTACAAATCACACGTTCCAGACCCAACACATGTGAGTAATGCCACAGGTGAGTAATACCACAGGCGAGTAATGCATCCTGTAAAGTATTTCCACTCCCTGAATGATAAATTTCACTGCATGTTACCCCGTCACGTCTGTTGCATGCCTATTAGCATGCGTAGTTCCACGCGGCGGGTTATTTAAGCACTCCTGCGGGCAATTGACGGCACACTTAGCTAGAATAGCTGTTTAGCATAAAACCTCAAGAACGACCCTACTATGCAACCTCTCGCTGTTGCTATAATTTTACTGGTCAGTAGCTCAGTTGTTGCAAATGCTACCAACGAGACATCCAGAGACTGCCCAACATGGACACTACCAGCCCCCTCCTCCAGCAGGTCTCAGGGACATTGCAAGTGTGGAAGCAGTGTCAGTGGAGTGGTGGACTGCAACTCTGCATCTCTCAACGTCTCGCTGCTCATGGGTCATTGCATGACATACAGTGACGGAGACGGAATGGCATACCTGGCAGCCTGTCCATTCAGACTCAAAGACAGATACGACATCTACACCCAGCTCCCGAGAAACGTTTCAGAGTTGAACGACTTTACCTGCTCACGGTACAATCGCCACGGTATTGTATGCTCGCAGTGCAATCCAGGCTACGGCCCGTCAGTATACACCCACCAGCTCCAGTGCTACAAATGCACAGGTCCCTACTCTGGCTGGGCACTCTATATCTTCTTTGAGCTGTTACCCATCACTGTCCTCTTCGGTATCATGTCTCTGCTTCACATACGGCTCACCTCCTCTGCTGCAAACTGCCTCCTATTCAATGCACAGATGATAGTTGCAATACTGAGCTACGGGGCACACATAGGGGTGTTTCCGTTTGGGGTGACATCGGAAATCATCTACAAACTCATCCTGTCCACTTACGGGATACTCAACCTCGATTTCTTTCGCGAAGTGATTCCTCCCTTCTGTGTCGGTGAGCGTGTTAACGGACTGCACACCATAGCGCTGCAGTATCTCGCAGTGGTTTACCTGCTGGGACTCACTCTATTTGTGTTCTTCTTGCTGGAATTGCACTACCGCGGCTGCAGAGTTACAATGTGGCTGTGGAAGAACATATTTGTCCGACTCATCAGAATCAAACAGAGCTGGACGTTTAGAACGTCGCTAGCAGACTCACTTGCAACGTGTTTACTACTCTCCTACACTAGACTGATGCTCATCAGTTTTAACTTGCTCTATCCTATCTCAGTGTTTGACGAACACGGACAGGTTGCAAAGAGAACACTGAATTTTCAACAGGACATTGAGTATCTAAGCAGGCAGCACATCCCATACGCCCTTCTGGCTCTAGTGGTTTTGGTAATACTGCTGGTTCTTCCATTCGTCCTCTTCATTGTGTACCCCATGAAATGCTGTCAGAGAAGCTGCGTGCAGTACTTTGGCAACCGAGCCTTGCTCCGCCATTTTGTCGAACTATTCCAAGGATGTTTCAAAGACGGTACAGACGGCACCCGCGACTACCGAGCGTTTGCCGTTTTTTACTTTGCTCTACGTTTCGTCATGTTTGTGAGTCACATGATAGGCTATGGCGGGAGACCCAAAATTTCCTTCCTGCTACCTGGAGTAATACTCGTTGTCGCTTCGCTAACAATCCTAACACTGAGACCCTACAAGAAAGGCGTCTATAACACAGTGGACGGTGTGATGCTATCATGTGCCGCTGTCATATGTTTCCTCCAGTCCGTCATGGTTGTCGTACCCAACACTCCCACCAGCAAAATGCTCCAGATTGCCGTTCAAATCGGTTTTCTCCTGCCGCTTTTTGGTGTCGCGTTCTACTTTGGGTACTTGTGCATAATCTGGTGCAGACGAAAGAGACTGTTGTCATCTAGTCTGAGTGACTCGTGTGAGTCTCTTCCACATAGATTCCTTCATCCAGACCACGACAGCTACAACACATCAAAAAACCCTCCTCTGACAAGCCCACAAGACACCAGAACCATCTCACAGTATGGGACGATCACCTACACAGAATAGCGACCTATTTTAGTCATGCATTATTTTCAGTTCAAAAATTGTTGTGTCTGTCTGTCTATCTAGAGTCAAGGGTATGAAGATCGTTAAAGAACGGAACTCCCGTACGTAATCATAAGCCCCTGCAGGTGCTGTGTACATAGCACTGTGACACATTCGTAGCATGTGTTTACCAGGAAAGCTCAGTCTTAGCCAGGTTGACTACAGCGTAAACACATCACAGAAAGTGTAACCGATTGACCATGCCACACACACACACCCACACACACGCGCGCGCCGCTCATTCACATGGTTTTCGTGCAGGTGGGAACTAGCAAGAGGAAGATGTGCATTGCAAAACCAGAGTTTTCATTTCACTATGCTGTGCAAGAGCACGTCAATGAAGCACAGATGTTACAAATCGAAAACATACATTGGAATAGTACTACTAAATTAGGATGTCGTTCTACAAATGTGAAAGTCGGTATAAGGAGTGTATGTGGTGTTGAGTCACACACACATCATGTGGCTGCTATGGGGGGTCTCAGCGAGTGGGGTGGCGTGTCCCCTGCCCCATATTTGACTCTTCCCACCAGAACTGTAGCTCTGATTCCGTGACTCCAGCTGCAGTGGGGCACTGCCCCCAGTCACCCACTTCTCCGGTAGACACTGTGTCGTCCCACACTTCCCCGGAGCTGTGTGGATCCATTACCCACCGCTCAACCGGGACGGTGTCTTGAACTACGACCTCATCCTGTACACATTGCTGCACACATGGAAAGACAGGAATTTCACCAATGAAGAGTATCGGGTGGGATTATATGCTGTTGCCATGGCTTCTGTATCGTGTTCATTTGGTTTCCCGAACACAAGGAAACATACCTCAAAGCCGCATGGAACCGTGATCAGAGGTTTGAACCCACTGGAGAGGTTGATGTAGCTGGAAGGCCACTGGTCTTTGATGGATGTGGAAACACTAAAGGCAGGTGGCCCACTTACACATCCAGTCACACTGCCCTTAGCTTCAAAGGCATACCCCACCTCCCCTTCTAGAGTGGCGTTTCCCTTTGTCCCCATCTGTGAAGTGTGGAATGAAAGTATGGACAAATACATGCTTCAACTCAGGTAGAGTCTTTGTCATCTTACCACGTTGAATTGAGAGAATGCCCGAATACTGACTTTAACCGAGGGAGAGAGAGATGCTTCCGTGAGAAAGGTGTTGGTATTGTTGGTATCGACTCTGTTTACATTGAAAGAACTGTTCAGGTGTACACATACATCCAGATGAATGTCGATTTTCGCGACTCCCACAAACAACACCATACTTTCTCGCAACTCTAGGGTATTTGGGCCCCAGAATGAAGTTAGTAACTGTGTGCCATCAGTGATGGCGTTGGAACTGAGCAATACGTAGCCCCCTACACCCACCAGGACGCGTTTCTTAACACCACTCCCGTCGTGGATTCTCAGCGCTTCGACTTCGACTGTGTCCAAAGTATACCCAAAGGCATTGACCCTGGTGGCAGCTCTGCCGAATATCTTTCTCTCCTTCCCACTCTCGCTTGCCCCTGTAAACATCCCTGCTGCAACCTGGAGGTTAAATCCTTTCACTCCGAGCTGCCGACTCCAGAGGTGGGCACTGTTCTTTGGGTATTTGACACCGTCTTCTTCACGATCTTTGTACGATGCTATCATCTTGTACTCTTCACCAGCCACCCCCCAGTTTCCCGCCTCCCTGCGAAGTCGTGTTCGAACACTCGGGTCGTGTTTCTCTAACGCATGAAGGTAGAAGTTCACGAGTCCACTGATATAACTGTTGTTGAATGCCCTGGAAGAATATACTAATGCCCTGGCATAGGCACGTGATGTTTGTATGTCAGTCACACCAGACGCCTCGATGGCTTTTACTAGAGTGTTGGCTATTGCACTCACAATGCTTGCAGTCTGATTTCTCGATCGAAGCATCTTAAGAAAGACTCTTTTCACGCGAGTGTTACTGGTCTGTTTCCTCAGGGCATTAATGGCCGCTACTTCCACGTCCACCCTATCATCATCAAGTAGACTTAGAAGAATATCAGTCATCTGATTAGAGCCAGTGTTTCCCAGAGCATGTATGAGAACCACCGTATAATCTGTGTCCTCTGTATGTTTCAGCACACGAGCAGTGAGGTACGCTACCATGTGGCTCTGCAGTCGAGGATCTGCTCGAGAGGCAACAGCTCCGTACATTAGGACGAGAGAGTTTGAGTCCATTTCGGTCCCCGAGCGAAGAAGAGACTCCAGCTTAGCTACGAATCCACTGGTGGGTGTGACCGAGAGCCCAATGTTGACTACCAGACTGCTCCACTCATTTGTATCAGTCACTTTTTCCAGACAAGACAACAGAGCCTGTTACACAGGTACCATTTGGTTATATACGGAGCACATGGTATGGTGTGCGTATTTTCTTACCTGCTGTGCGTCTGAATTAGGCAGCGAAGCAAGAATCTGATACAGCTTTAATTTCATGGCAACATCATCTGGCATAGTTAACTCGCACACCTAAACGAATATAGATAGCTATCCACTGTCAAACAGAACTCTCTCTCTATTAATACAGCTCACGTTGTTCAAGTAATCTATTGCTTGGTTGATTGCTTGTGCCAAATGCAGGTTATCTTCTGTCGACAGATACTTCTTCAGAGCTTCCACTGCAAGCATAACAAATTTAGTCTACACGGGATATAACTAGCTGGTATGTTACAACCTTGCTGAGTGTCCTCTGGACTTTGATGAATGTGCTCTAGCACTGCCGTCACATTCAACTTGTGTGTCTGAATGCTACCATCCTCTTCTGCTAATGTATAACATTACGGAACAAGAGACATGTTTACTGACTCTCATATTTCACTCAGCGGTGCAGCAAATTTATTTACCATAATGTGTACTTGAGGCTTTGAGTGACGACTCTGTCTCTCTCTCGCCAACGTCCCGCCTCCTTCGTGAAGAACCGGTGGAGCGATGCGAGTTGATCAGTTGTATGGTATAGTGGCTCTGAATAGAGAAGTGGTTCAAGTTCACAGAGGGAAAGAAGGATTTCGGCGAAGGGTCTGCTGCACGTCCCCATCGACGTCCTTTCTCCTGGGGCTTACCCCTGTTCAGTATAGGCTCTTGGACGTCGCTGTTGCTCTGCTGCATGTTGGCTCTGGCTTTGTCCTCTAGTTTAGGAATGATTGTGATGTTCGTTTGACCGCGAGTTTTGTTGAGAACTCCGTCCTCGTTGTATAAAATCTCCTCCTCTTTGGAGTAGGACAGAGGGAGTGAATGGCCGCCTGCGAAAATGGCAATGTCCTTCTCGTTGAAATGTCGCACCATGTGTCGTGGTGGTGTATGCTCAGTGGGGTTGATGTACCTGAAGAAAAGAAGCAAAAATGTACAGTCATTCATGACGTGTGTTACAAGGCTATGAGGTCACTGTTTAGCATTGATCTTGTCTAATGTACAGTGACGTACGGGACTAACTCTCGTCCGTTTGGTATGATATAAGGTATGGTAAACATATTCTCCACCAAAGATGAATATCATTTACTACACACGAGAAATAGTACGTGCATATGGATTGTGAAAGGATATTGTTACGGATCATTTTGTCTAGTTATGCACAACCGGTTCCTGTTGACTCACTGCACATAACTGAGATTTCTTTCCATGCTGACCTGTAATGCGACATATGCTCTGATTCGTGATCGGTCTCTGCCACCTCTGCTTTCCCCACAAAATTGGCCTGGAACCCAGTCACAATGGCCTTCTCGAGGTTGATCACCCACTGGCTCGTGCTTTCAGTGTGTAACACAACTGGTGTCTGTCCATCCTCTGTTTGTACGAAGCAAAATCTTCCCCTCAAGTCTTTCTCGTCGAAATTTATCACCTGGTTCCTATTATTGATGACTGATATTACTGCTTGTGTGGCACAGCTTATGCAAAGTTGGCTTACCCAGTGCTTAGTTCGTGTTCCAAGCGACCTTCAGTCACGTTAAGGCAGTATTTCTTAGCTTTTTTATAGGCATACTCTCCATCTGTATTTTCAAGTGGCAAAAGGATAACACGTCATGAATTAGATATATTTCTGCAGCATGGCTGCCGTGCACGATAGGAAACCCACTAGCGCGTAGACACTCACTGGATTCGCAGGTAACGTTCAATTTCGCAGAAAACGTCATATTCTGCGTCTCGCTGTCCACGCCGTGGGTAATAAAACTGGTGTAGTTGTAGACCCACACATTATTGTTCTGGAGGATAACAACAAAGCATATTCAATAGCCAATGTACCACTAAAAATATTGACACTTACTTGGCAGGTCCTCAAACTGATGTAGCGAGGCTCTCCAACGAAGGCGAAAGCGTTGCATCCGGCGAGAAAAAGAAGGGGCAACAGTAGAACAGCTAGCTTGTGCATGTTTGCTGCCTCCGGTGCCTTACAGTTCTACGGTAGGCAAATAAAACTGAAGATTCTCCTGTTTTCAATGGTATTTCAGTGTTGTAAAAACCAAGTATGCATGCTGCTGTGTGCTGCGGTCGGTGAGGAGCGCACGCATGCGCTTTGATCTGTGGGCGTAGCTAGTTCATTCAGCTCTAGCATGGGAGACAAGGAGGCATCTCAAGTGGCCGGAGAACCTGCCGGGGAGTCGATTCAGTCTTCGGAGAACGAGACCAGGAGGCTGACATGGTACAAGAAGCTCTCCTTTACCAGCGGCCACTTCATGAACGTCGTAGGCATCTCGATATGGTTCCCGTACAGTGTCATCTTCTTCCAGAAAGTCATCGGCCTCCCGCCCTCCGACACGGGGACCGTTATTCTGGTAGCTCAGGTTGCCGGAGCCGTTTCCCTGCCCTTCATCGGGATGTGGTCCGATCAGACGGTGCTCAGGTACGGTAGGAGAAAGATATTCCACTTGGCCGGCATATTGGCCACAGGACTGGTGCTGTTTTTTCTCTGGCACGAGTGTCTCGGATGCAGCGATGCGCCTCCAGAGTACCAGGTCATCTACTTTACCAGTTTCGCAGTGGTGTTTCAGTTTGGGTGGGCGGCAACACAGATAGCCCAGCTCTCTCTTATCCCTGAGCTGGTTCGCGACAAGACTGAACAAGTGGGCCTCAATGCCATGAGGTAATGTCAGCAAAGAGTCAAGTATCTATCAGTCTGTTTGAAAATTCCCATCTCAAATAGGACTACGTTCACAATTGTAGCCAATATCATCATCTTTGTCTGTTTCTTGGTGCTGTTTGCCACCTTCAAAAACGATACTAACTCCATCTCACCAGACGACAAAGACGTATTTTGGGTGAGCCCGTGGTGGTACAAAAAAAACTGCAACTCATAAAATCATGTCTGTCTGTGTTTTTCTAGATTGTTGCAATCATTGCAGTAGTATTGGGATTTCTCTTTGGTGTCCCGTTTCAAATCCTGATCCGCGAGGACCCAGATGCTGCGAGACTGCCTCGCCTGAAGTGGTTCGAGTGGATCCAGCAACCTCAGTTCTTCCTGGTATTAGCCTAAATACAATAGTCAACATTAACAAATAAACTGCTACAGTAGCGTACTCAGTTGCAGTAGTTTGTGCAGGTGTTGGTACTATGGTTGCTATTCTGCCTCGGTAGATACTCACATTCATTTAGTCATTTACTTTGCTATGTATAACTGCTCCTATGGTCAGTAACTATATTATTATCCTGAACAATCACATGGTCAGTACCTCATTATGAGAAAGGAAGACTCAGTCACTGTCTAGAGAGCTGTGATCGATTGGACAGAGTGGGATCAGCACAACATGTCTGTCTATGATGCAGGCCATGTGTGGGTTTGTGAGTGCAAGAATAATCTTCATTGTCCCTCAAACCTACCTACCCATCTACCTCACTGACACCCTTCAGTTGAACAAGGTCTGTATGTAATAGTTATTTACCTCTATTATATATAGTAGTGAATTATGTGTCTCTTTCCATAGAAAAGTGTAGCTACTGGGCCACTGGTGCTCTATGTCACGGCTTTTGTCACCACCTTTGCAGTCAAGCAAGTCACCAAAAAGATGGGAACTTTGGTATGCTATAATCCCCAATCGTGACCAGTAAAGTTATCACGTGATAGCCACACAATTGAGGGTGAATCTAGATCTGCAACCAGCAGCATTCCCATTACGCCTGTATTGCATCACATAATTGAGCATCTGATCAAGTAGAAGTGGAGTTTATTAAAATTTGAGAATACTTAAACCATCAACAACTATCTGTCTAAGAGTTATCTGTATCATGGTCGATTGCAGTTGTTTATAATGGTGCTTTCTTCCACAGATGATGTTCTTTATGGGCATGGCAGTTGTTTGGGCTGCAGTGTAAGTCATCACGTGATGCACAATATACACCACATAACTACTGAGAAGCTACCTCATGTTTTATGACTCCCTAAATCTACCAATCGTGAAATCAATTAACTTAATTAACTTACATCACACTGATTTTGCCTTGCAAGCTTTGTGCAAGCTGTAATAGGCTTGGAATGCATGGCAAGTCTTCCTATTAAAAATTCAGCATGTGCTATATACTGCTAGAGTTGGAACACTAGGTGGCTTCAGTAGATATGGTAATGGCCATTGGGGGTATTAGAAATGGTAGAGCGTTATGCAGGAGGAATTCCTAACTGGTTGGCTTTGTAAGCAGAATCTTAATGCTGGTGTCTCAGTAGAGTAGTGGTTGACTCTGTCGCTGCATATGGGTTCTGTGGTGTGTGGGTAGAGGTGGAATGAGAAAAGGGTAAATTGTAAATGTCATCTGAACGGTATTTAATTGCATTTCTGTATGGCTGTATTCACTCCTTTTTAGTTGCTATGAGAGCCGTCAAAGATATTTTTACGAGACAGACACCTCATGTTCATATGGTGTATGTTCGGGTTCCGCCCATTGCTCTGGGTGCGTGGTCTATGGCCCTAGTGCTATGGCAGCCACCTGAGTATTATTATTATTAGTTGCTACGCTTTGTTAGTTAATGACAAAGTGTCTAATAGCTTGAGGCAGTGAACAAGAATTTTTGAAGCTTGAAAAAACAATTCAAACAAGAATTCCTTTCTTGCCCCGGAATCAAAAGGCTCATGTATACCAACAATTATTAAGGGGAACCCAAACAGTCAAATCCTCAAGGTGTGTACATCTTCCGCAGGATCTGGTTCTGGGTGAAAGAGCCATCACAAGTCAGTCCACAAGTCGTGTTCAACGCAGCCAGAGACAATGTCTACCTGGCCATTGTCCTGCTGGGAGTGGGCGGGGCTACAGTCCTCGTCCTCTCCTACACCATGATCTCACAGGTCGTCGGCAAGTACACTGTGAGTCCTTCACCTACCTAACCTCTCTTGTTCTCGTATTTTAACCTGCCACAATATTAAGCAATAATATACAGCATTTTAATATCGGAGGAAAAGGGCCATCTTTGACCTCACAGTCCATATTAAGGGTTCTCACACTCTTCTTTGTGAGAGTTGTTTTTCTACGTACAGTTGAATACTTTGTTGACCTAATAATTGGCGAGCGAAGCAAAGCTACCTAGTCGTCTGAATGCAGGATTTTTCTGTTCATTTTGTGTGACGGGCACTGCACATACTGTAATGTTCTATGTGATTCTTATGCGTGTGGCTCGACCAGCCTTGCGCGTGGCAACGCTCATCTCTCTCAGTGACTGTGGCTCATACAGTGTACGGGTGCTACATACGCGTGAAACACGTGCGAAGAATCGAACTGCTCGCTTCGCTCGCTTGCTATGAGAGCCGTGAAATATATTTTTACGAGGTCTTTGTGTTGTTTTACAGGGTAGCAGTGCCTTTGTGTATGGATGGGTGGCGTTTTGCGACCGATTGTCGAATGGTGTGACAGTCAAAACCATCCAGCAGTTTGCTCCACAATCAACAACAGAGTGAGAGCTGTTTGAAACAGTGACAAGTACACCAACTGCCAATAATATGGCTGTGTGTAGCAGCGGCAGAGTTAATGGCCCATTGCGGTGTTTGTATTTTGTCACTAGGACGAAGTCACCCGTACTAGTTTTATATACCAAACCATTAGTACGTGTGTAACACGATTCTAAAACTGCCGATATCGTTGTGTGTACAGCCTACAGCTAACGGCCTGATGTATAAACAACCTAAGCATGTGGGGGGAGGTATTCACATTATTAGCATACCACGGACTATAATAGATACGCAACACCTCTGAAAAAGTTTCACAACGCTTAATCATATTCACGATTTATCAGTCCCTCCAGTCAGGAGTTTTACAGACATGTGATGGTCTATACTCCCTTCGCTGCCAGTGCCCTGGGTCTCTTCACCCTATCAGCCTACCTCCTCTTGCAGGAGAGAGAGAGGAGGAGATACAATATGGCTATGTCTAGAGATCGTCTACCGCCACTGTGAGTAACTAATACTCAACTTTGCTCTCCATATACTTGCTTTTTAGACACAGCTACTACTTTAAGCACCACATAGTATTGTGTAATCTTGCTCTATACAGCTTCACAGCATTGCCCTGCCTGTATATTTCACATAGGTAAACTGAAACCCACAGCAAAAGAACACCCATCCACCTCCTGCCTCCACCTATAGACCCAGATTAATCACGACGAAGGGCAGAGCCGTCTTAAAAAGCCAGCATCCAAGCAAGCTGGGTTCTGCAACACATGAGCGGAGAGCAGCACCTCTTAGCACACAACTCACTTGAATCATAATGTTAGCAGTTTGCAGAGTGATCTATATATCATGTATTTCTTTGTAAATTTGTGAGTGACTCAAAATATGTACGGATGAGTCACAATGTAACACTGAGATAAATGGACAAATTTGCGTTGACTCGACTGAGCGAGTGAGAGGGAGAGGGGAGAGAAAGGAGAGAGAGAGAGAGAGAGAGAGATGGGGAGGAGTTATCAAGATATGACACAGTCTTTGCTCCCAGTTCTGTCTAGGGAGGCGTTTCTTTGCTGGTTCGGTGGAAGCCCCGAGTCGTCAGAGGCAAATCCGTCCCTCTCGCGATGAGTGCTGCACAGACAAAACACAATACCGAGAGTAGATTTATCTACTATTGCTGGGTATGGCATGCAGCCTAAAGTATTACTTGGTCAAGACTACCGTGCGAAAGATGGGGCAAGTAAATAGAGGCTGACGTGTTCTCCAAGTAACGAGGATAAAAGAAAGCCAAGTATATGTATACTAGCGCACTGGATGTAGACTGAGTTCAACTCCCTCTTTTCCAGTGTGTCATATCATTATAGCGAGCTGGAGAGCAGGAGTTGGTGCCACGGGTGTGTTTGAACTCTAGGCTCACTTAAATCACAGTATGTCGCATTGCGCCGTCGCACCACACAGTGCAACGGGCCAATGCAATGTATTGTGAACCTAGCCTTAGTGTGTTGTGTGAACTGACCTTTTGCTGGCAATGGACATCTTCTTCCTCTCTACCTTGTCTCTCTCGTCCACTATACCCAGTAGGTCCTGGACTAGAGTATCCACCCTCACCTTCTGCTGCGGAGTCTTCTGTTCGTCTGAGTATTACACAACCACACTCTAGCTTGAGCCACACAATACAGTTAGAGAGAGCAAGTTCATTATGTAGAAGTCCAAGGGCCTTTTAGGTTACAATGGAACATCTGAAGAAGGAGCACCTTAGGTGTACATCAAAATTCAGAGGTGTCCCTTATTTGGAGGTACATAATTATACAATACATAGGGCAGAAGTGTCCTTTAAAGAGAGGTGACCTTTGTTCAGAGGGTCCTTTTCGGGGTTTAGTAGACATGTGTGGATTGGCTCTAATATTGCTTCATAGCGCAGTTAAAACCATGTGTCCTTTTCGGGGGGTTTCAGGGTTTAGTACTTCTAGTAGACATGTGTGGATTGGCTCTAATATTGCTTCATAGCGCAGTTAAAACCATGTGTCCTTTTCGGGGGGTTTCAGGGTTTAGTACTTCTAGTAGACATGTGTGGATTGGCTCTAATATTGCTTCATAGCGCAGTTAAAACCATGTGTCCTTTTCGGGGGGTTTCAGGGTTTAGTACTTCTAGTATATAGACATGTGTGGATTGGCTCTAATATTGCTTCATAGCGCAGTTAAAACCATGTGTCCTTTTCGGGGGGTTTCAGGGTTTAGTACTTCTAGTATATAGACATGTGTGGATTGGCTCTAATATTGCTTCATAGCGCAGTTAAAACCATGTGTCTGTCGTGTCTCATTTCAGGGTACCTGGTATTGCCATGAGCGGCCTCAGTTCTCTGTTGATGAAGAACTGTTTCTTCTCCAAGTCCTCTTCTCTCTCTCTGCAGGTCAATGATTGTACACTTACATCAGGGGTCATTTGGAGGGGGGGCAGGGGGCACTCACCCCCCTTGATAAACTCCCGCCCCCCCTCGGAGTTTAAGTGAACATTTTGATGCACACAAAGGGAGGGTTTTGCACCTTGTTTTTTGCTAACATGCATTTTGCTCCCGCGTGAATAAATTTCTTAATGAAGGTCTGACCATAATAATAATCCACTATGTGAGAATTTTTCGCAGTTGTGACCCACCTGCTAAAATTTTCTTCTATAAGTATATTCTGGGTAGGGGCATTGGTAAAAAAAAAAACAATCCGCAAGCAACTGAATCATTTTCTCCTGTGAAACCTTTTTGCTATATACACCCAAATTCTTATCATTTCAAACGTGTTAGTGTGAACAATGGAGTTTATCTATCGGAGGTTCCAAACGTGGCAGATGTTGCAAATGTGTGTGTGTGTGTGTGAAATAGAGTGTATCTGATGCAGCGATACTGTAAGACACTCACACGAGGTTTAGCTCAATCTGTCTCTTGATGAGCTCGTTCTTGCCGTTGAGGAGAGTGAACCATTCCTGCATCATCGTCTCCTCGTCCTCCTTGTTCCCTGGGTACGGAGAGAGAGCACAAGCAGCTCACGTATTGAACAACTAAACACAGTGATGTAAGATCTAACAACTCGGTCATCGTCAAATAAAGACCACCCACCATTGGAATGTGGGAAACATCCCCATTATCAACTAGTAGTGCAATTAGGAATTGGGGATCCTCAAGATATGTAATTGGCAAGGGAGGCGAGCCCACCCATAGTAGTCTCTATTTCCTAGTATATGTACATACGTAGGTGACACTTTCCATACTATAATGGCTATCGTAATATAATTATAAAGTACAGGTGAAGTTTTCATACTCATGATTGCCGCCAATAATGCATCGCATTCCTTCTTAGTTTAGTGATATCCCTATGGAGGTGATAATTGGAGGGGTTCCCTCACCGGTGGACATGGCTTGTCGGACGTCAGACTCGATCTCGACGGCTCTCCTCTCCATGTTCAGTAGCTGCTGCCGCAGACGACTCAGTTCACAACGAACGTACTCATTCCTCGTCAGCAAGATATCCTAACACACCCAAGGCCATAATACCACAGTAAGTTCAGTAATGGAACCCCTATAATCCGGACACCAATGGTACAGAATAAAGTAGTAGTGAGGTGTCCCTATTTCACGAGTTGAGAATCGTTGGGGAGAGACTCCGAGAGAGAATGGTTAGAGAGGTGTCCTCATTTCATGGGGTGTCTCCTTAACAGAGGACTAAAAACGTGTGTCTATTTGCTACAAACAAGAAAATGGTGTGATTGAAGCCATTAACCTTTTCTAGGCCCTCGCTGTGCTCATCCCAGGGAGATGGACTCTGTGCGGTGAGACAAGAAGTAAAACAGAAATCTTGAGAAACACACACTCTTACCTCGAGCTTTGAGCCTCCACTGGTATCTTTCTCCTCCGAGTCTCCATTTCGAGTTTCCCCCTCCTCCTCCTCCTTCCTTCCCTCCACCTGTCCACCTGACTCCACCCTGTTACCATCTGTGTCAACCCCTGCTCCTCCCTCACCAGCCCTCTTCTGCTGTCTCTTACTCTCCAACAGTTTCTGAGCCGCGGCTGAGGGTTTCGATACTACTGGCTTTATCTGTAGTTCCTTTACCGGCGGCTTCTTCTGGCGAGTCCGAGGCTCACTGGGCGGGGCCTCGTCTGGCTGACCACTCCCCTTATCCCCACCTCCAAGTGTGTCTTTAGAACTGTGAGGTTTTGCGGCTCCGGTGATATGGGCGGAGTCTGCCCCACCTCCAACCACTACCACCTGTGGCCGGTTGACCACACCCACTCTCCTCTTGAAGGAGTCGTTGTCCGGGCGATGTGCCCTCGGTTCGTCTTCGTACGAGACAATCTCATTTGGCTCTAAACTGGGCGAAACTTCTCTCGTGTCCTCTTTTCCACCTTCTTCACTTGTGTTCTGAGGAATCTGAGGCTTTTGGTGTTCCTCCTCCTCTTTCTCGGCAATCTCTGGCAGCGATGTGGAGCTGCGGTCGGCTGCGAGCTCGTTTTCCTCGTCAGCCGAGGGGTCGGGGAGACGGGAGGAGGAAGAGGGGGAGGATTGAATTTCGCTCAGCATCATTCGCACCTGCTCCCGATACTTCTCCTGTTTTGAGTCTGGATTCTGTACGACGTAGTCAGACAACAGTGTGTCATACAGTACATCTGTATATAAGTACATCTGTAATACTTAGTTACAGTTCACAGCGTCTAAAGGAGGTCGAGAGTGTCTCTCATGATTATACAACTTACTCTATTACTCTTTTACTCCATCGTATTGTGACTACTACAAGAGCCTGTTCTTATGACAACATGGACAATAGAAAGAAAGCGCAAAGGACATTCTTAAAGTGAACACAAAGACACTGGTTCCAGAGTATCACAACAAGAAAATGTCAACATTGAAATAGTAGGTATGCCAACTGTCATAACACAGCGCTATAACCATATTGTGTGAGGGATGTGTGTACAGACTTTCTTCTTTCCAGGGGAGGGAGAGGAAGATGAGGATGAGAAGTCTGCAGAGGCTGGACTGATTCTGTGTTTTCTCAGCAGCTCTTTAGCCATCTGACGCCTCTCTTCATCCTACACACACACACACACACACACACACACATCACACACACACACACATCACACACACATCACACACACACACACACACATCACACACACATCACACACACACAGCATTCATTTCAAAATTGATGTAGCAAGCCGCAGATTATGATTTTTACATTGCTGCACCACTAAAAAGGAAGCTTAACTATCTTGCATCACACAACACATGGAAGGGCCTTTATCAATGTCGTGAGCTCGCCTTGACAGGGCATTCCTACAAACACTGCAATAGGAAGACTATAGCAGCAAGGTACGTGTGTATTCAGAACTGTTGAATAGAGTTCAGCGGAATACAGAGCGACCCACAAACCTTGGTCGTCACTTCCGGAGAGCCAGTCGGTAAAGCAGGCAGCCTCCTGTGTGGCTTGGAACCCGAATCTGACCTTGTCCTGGCCGTCTCATCCACTGTACCCATCTCCTCTCTCCCCACCCCTTCCAACTGCCCCCTCTGGCCCTCCATCTTCCTCTTTCCCTCCTCCTTACCGGCCGAACCAGCCTCTAACTCTTCCACACCCTTCCCTCCCTCTCTTTCTCCCACTCCTGCTGTCACTTGTGTGACATAAACAGCAGACTGGGAGCCATCTTTCCCCGTCAGAGAATCCAGAGGTTGGGCTGGTGTTGTCAGAGAGGTCTGACTTTGACTCTGATCCAGGGACACAGAGCTGCTGGTCCGAGGTTCGCTCTCACTATCACCTTCAAACTCCAGGAGTCTGTCTTCCTCTGTGCTCTTCCTCGCCTCCCTCTTCTCCCCCTCTCTCCTCTCCCCCTCTCTCCCTCCTCCATCATTCCGGTCCCCACTAGAGTCATTAGATCTTTCAGACACACTGATGGATGGTACCCCAGTTCGTGATGGATTGGCTGATGCAATCACTAGTTGGTCCAACGCTATCCCTGCTTCATTCACACCAACTCCAAAACCTTGTCCCGCATTTGTCCTTCCTTGTCCAAGATTATTTCCTCCTTGTCCCACATTACCTCCTCCTTGTCCTGGATTACCTCCTCCTTGTCCCGCATTACCTCCTCCTTGTCCCGTGTTACCTCCTCCTTGTCCCGGATTATCTCCTACTTGTCCCAGGTTACTCTGCGTTGTCGGGTCAGCTCCACTACCATCCCCCGTGTTCCCCAAGACAAGAGACGAACCGCTCGAGTGAGTTTTAACCCCGTGGTCACCAGACACGCGGATGGTCCGACCCCCGCCCTCCTGCTCCTCGCTGTTCCGCCGTGAGCTGTGACGAGAGTATTTGCTCACCTCTACCGAGTGGGAGGGGGACGTGACGGGCGAGAGGTTGCTGTAAATGTTGGGATCGTCAAACACTTTGTGGATCTTTGAGATGTCAAACGGTGAAGAAGGCTTGTCTTCGGAGTTGGGGCTCCCACTTGCACTACCTGTTGCCACATTTAGAGCAGAGAAGAAGAGGGTTGGATTGTAAATTACATTCTTAACCAACAATGTCCCTATTGGACATACGTACGTACATACTTAGGTTTTGACTGACAAAGTTTTCACGTGCAATGGAACGGTGTTGGAAACCTCACTGGCGGCACTGGAACCATATTGAACCATAGACTGGGAAATTTGCAAGGATTGCAACATTTTTACAAGTTTCAACAATTATTCGAGCCTCAGTCGTCAAAGTCAAAGAGACTGTAGACTAATATGTAGACCTATACGTATGTATACCATACCATTCTCAGTGCTATCTTTGGCGATGGCAGAAGGAAGGGCTCTGGTGAAGTACTGGTGCATGTTGAACCGAAGAGAAGAGACGAGCAGCTTGTCGGGAACCGTGGCAGATATCATGGCACTGGGGGTCAGAGGACACGAGATACCCAGGACATGGGCCAGCTCAAACGCCTTGGAGAAAGAGACAACTGCTTTCAACACCACATTTATACATATTATTATTATATATAGTACGAAAACAGTAGGAAATTTGGGGGAGGGGACAAATGTTGGTATGGTTGATGCTCTAGCAGAAAAAAAAAGTAACTTACTAACCAGCTTATTGTTCTCCTTGATGGCGTTGGGTGAAACTGCCTCAATGTCTCTGCAGGTTTGAGTAAACTATTTAAACTCTGTGGCTCCAGCAGTCTTATACGTACAGTGAAGTTAACACGGGTAGTTAATCCTTGTGTAGTGCAGCAAGGGGTGTGCCACATAATTAAGGCTTGATTTCCCCTTACTTGTGCATCAGACATAGTGGCAAATTATCCTAAAACAGGCAATTTCTAATTCCGTGTCACTATAAGAAGGCACCAGAGGGTGGCCTAAACTTTTCGTACTTTTAGTAGCAAGTGGAGAAAAGGACAGGCCAACAAACCATCACACACACCTTCACTATAACTGGAGTGTGCAGTGCCAAAATATGGTGGCAGCAAGCAAGTAGGTGTAAGGACAAGCCAACCGACCATGCTGAATAACTTAGCCAAAGCTGAAGTAAAATTGAAAAGGTGTGGGAAAAGGGTTAATAACTGACATGAGGTCTGGGCGGTAGTAGTGGAAGATGGCTAGGAACCCCATTCCTGTTCTCCACGACGTCGTCATGTTGGTAACCTTGACTCCCCTGTAGCCAGTCGTCACGCCCTGGGTCCACTCTAGAGTGAGACGGAAAAGGAAAAAATGGACAGAGAAGATTATCAGAGTCACATAATGATTCTGACACTAAGAACTATTGAGGCTGCCATAGGACGCTATGATAAGGGTGGCAACATCGGATACAAAGGAATTTGCCGGTTAATAATACTTACTGAGTAATTCTTCCGGTGACAGAATTGACTCCAGCATCAGAGGTGGAGTGATGGACCGACCACCATGCCTGCACACACACGCACACAGACACATTGCTATAAATCACGGTGCATTCTCAACAAAGACCCGCAACACATGAAGTGATAGCTCACCAGGCAAAGTTGTCGTCATCTTCATCCTCAAGGTTCCCAATCATGGAGAGGTTGGAGACGCTCATCATACTGGCTATACTCAACATATCGTCATCTCTGCAGACACACACATGCACAGATGCAGGCACGATCGGGGGAAGAGAGGAAGGAGGGAGGGAGGGAGGGGTTATAACAATGAAAAATGCTGACCAGCAGATTTCATGACTCAAAACGTAGTCTTATATGAAGAACCAATCCACAACCAGCAAAAGCAGTGAATGCAATAATCGTAGTGTAACGTGCGTTTCACAAAGTGCACAGGTGTATCACGCAGTGCACGGGTGTGCAAGCCATATCAAACAGACACACATTCGCAAGACACGTTGCCTGACTGTGCAACACCTGTGCCAGATGTATTATACACTGAGACTGCAGTACAGTTACAGATCTTCCACAGTCAACACTACATATTCCCACTGTATGAAACCAGGTACATGTATATTACCATGTGTATGCAAACCACAAGTGCTGCGCTCAACTTTGCCTTTATAAACTCGTGATGCCAGAGAGAGAAGTTGCGGTATGCTTTGCTTATGAGGGCCAACAAGCCCGAAACAGCTGCCCAGAGCTCCACATCTTTTTTCTCTTGGCATCACATGGTCTATTGTTACATGCAGTACACGCTCTTCCTACGTACAGATCTTTTTGAGTATCATTATTCTGCTCACGTGGCTTTCCCTTCCTTGAGGAGCACTGAGCAGAGTGTTATGTCCAGGATGACTCTCTTTATCTTGCGAGACACCGGTTTCAGTTGGAGCTGTATGTCGTGGTCGTAGGGCATGGTGAGGCGTAGCGAACCATGTTTATGGCAGTGGAGGCAAGGATCTTCCTCTTCCCCGAGTTGTCCACCTGAGCAGAGGGGACGTGTGGGGGAGAGTTAGTGTGTGAGTGTGTATGGGTGGGGGGGGAGGGGTGTAGAGAGGAAGTGGGGGAAAGAGGACAACATAAGAGATGGAAGATAGATGAGAGCGATCGAGGTGGTAGGGGGAGGAGAAAGCAGAAGGGAGGGTGTAGAAAAAAGAGACACGTAGTGATTTATAAGAACTTTTTAAAATCCAGAATAAGAGTGAAAGAAGTCAGAGCAAAGTTGAAAGAGCCCTCTAAAAACTCAATTAGGATAACTGTATGTATAATATGTCACTACAGAGAGAGGTGGCGCCACAAACTCACGTCAATGACATGAAATTCCCACTCTTTAGTCTCGTATGAACGTGTCCCTTTGGACTCTACACGGAAGAGACAAAGTGATCACAGCACACGTGAATGGAGATGTCTGGCCACCCTACACACGCAATACTACGACCCAGTCACTCACAGACCCTCACCACTACCATTGTACACACTTTTGCTATTGAATATTGCAGATTTTCGAGATTTTAGCAGCACACCACCTGGTGACTGTGTTTGCAATACTTTTTGTGCTGGAAAAGGGGTTTCTATGGTATACCTAGGTGACAAGAGAGAGAGGAAGAGTAAGGAATGATAGAAAGAGGGTTATATTACATTGTGCAAAAGTGCAGGTGAGGAGAGAAGAAGGTTGTGGACCTTGTACAAGGTGTACAGTGGTTTCCATGACCTCCTTGTCGGGACCAAATGACGACACCTTCCCCACCCCTCGTTGTGTGTGGTGTGTTCTAGTAGACGCTCTGCCGACCGGTGGCTATCGCTGGAGTAGGAGTCGGCAGTAGTATAGCAAGTACGAGATACTGTACTGATCCCTACGAACATTACCTTGTTAATGAGAGTTATCCGCAACACTCCAAATAACGAGACTGAGACGCATATTCAATATCTGACTTGTCATGAAAAGCACACCCCGTCTCCCCCTCTTTTTAGTAAAAGACAAGAGTTCAAAACCAATTGACAGCAGAATAGAATCACTCGTGCGAAAAGTGATACAGTGAGACCAAACACCTATCTAGACTCAGCACGGAACATACGTGAGTGAGAATCTTCTTTCCTCTTCTGACGCAAGACACACTGATTAGGTGAGCTTCGGGAGCCTGGGATGATATGTACATCATTGATATGCGCGATTTACAGAGGTAAACAGTAGCTTTGCAATCAGTTTCTATGTGTTCTTCAAACGAAGATGAAAACGAACCACCTATCCAAGTCACATACATCTGTATGAGTCTAGCAACCACGTCCATCCCAGGAACACTGTTCTTAGTGATAGTCGACTCGCATATTATTTCGCTCTCAGACCACACGTGTGTATGATGCAGTGTCGTAATAATATCGACATCATGGTGCATAGCATCATGCTGGGTGCTACGTATCTCTATACACCTCTTAGAGCGTTCATGGAGAGACAGTTGATGTATTGTGGGCTGGCAATGAGGGGCAGTGTGTATGTGGCTACCCTCCACCAGCCCGCTGCTATGCCAAACTCGCACTCTTAGTAGACTACTTAAAGCGTGAAACTTCTGGTAGCACGAAACCTCGTTAGGATTGCGTGCGGCAAATACACAATTTTCCACGAGCCACTGCTGTAAACTGTTTCTTCGCTCACATGCTGATGGGAGGTAAGTTTTTTTTCCAGGTGGAGTAAAATTTTTCATGTTTGGTTCGCCAAATAATTGTGAAAACACTGTTAAGTTGCGGCCATCCAGAACTTACACACACACGCACCAGCTGGGGCGGGATGCCTAAAAACTGTCCACACAAGCAAACACAGCAGTTGTCCAAAAACCAAGGAACTCTCAGACTAAGTTCTGAAATAGTCTTGTCACCCGCAGGTACAGTCCGACATTATCCGATAACCCGCACCCGCACATCTGTTGATGTGAAACCTAACTGTAATAGGAACATGAAACCACCACCCGTGTATTAGGAGGTCTGACGTAAAGTCTGAATTCCAAGATCTCCGACTAGAGCTGAGCGCTTACGAAGGACAGGATGCATAATAGGGATGCCACACACTCACCATAAGCTCCCAGCACTGACTGGTATGTACATCACTCCTGTACAGCTGCAGCTGTTAACTTATGGATGCATGTCTTCTATATATATAGGGCGAACTGCATATAGCAGTCAGAGATGGCTATTTGCACGGTATTATTCATTGCACTGTCACTGCTGCTGCTCTGCTGTCCTTCCCCCATTGCTCTGGTGTACGCTGATCTATGCCCTTAGGTCTACTTACCTCATGAGAACCTCTAATGGTAGGTGGGTGTAATATTCCCTCCGCTCCAACAAATTTCCCTCATGTGAGGTAAAGGTGGTACATCTTGCATAGGTGTTCACAGGTGTGTGAGTGAGATAGTGACAACTTTGGCTTATCCAAGCCCTTACTCTCCCTGGCCTCCCAATATAGATGTTGCTATGATTCAATCACCACCGGTATGAATGTAAGGCTAGCCTTTAGCTGCACATATTATCGATGTCTTGTGACACAAGATCTTCCAACTCACGTGCACACATACAGTATGGTAACTCTGCAGTAGAAGGCAATGCTAAGTACGAGGGGTCCCCGAATAGCATTTATACCTCAAACAGAAACATGACATCAACCCAAATGCCTGGTTTTTTTGGCCACAATGCAACTGAATCGGCATTGGGAAAGGCTGGACTTACCTTTCTCCCAACCTTGTGCACCGTAGATGTTACCATTTGTCCATGAGAACCACACTACAGCACGTTTATCATACAATCCTACAATTCACGTAGGCAGGCATCAACCGCACGAAACAACGATGCATCTCACCAAGTCTCGCGATCCTCTGGCATTCCACGACCACCGTGCCTGGTATACGATGGCAGTGTACTGGAACCTTGCTGGCCTTCTGCCCACTCACTTGATGCTTACTGAGGCAAGAACATGGCTGTCCCTTCAACTGGTTCTCTCTTAGCTGAACAACTGCAAGAGAATACACACAACAAAACGGTTCACGTTTACAATATAAAGAGCCGTGATGCTCGCCCTCGCGCTTTCCATGGAAGCATATTAGCCATTAGCATTTCCCTTCTTTAAGAAATATCTCCGGCGAAGGGATCCATTAGCTAGAGGTCATGAGGAAGACAACTTCGCCTAACGGCAAAGCACTCTAACGTTAGCGCTTTATGACAAGCGTGCGCTTAAAATTAAACCTAATATCTAAATGACGTCATGGATGCTCCTTCTCTACACGTTGCGCGAGTCCTTCCGCTCTCTTTCTGCTGGATCGGATGCTCCTACAACCGTTTGCCGCGGTAGCGCCAGACACGCGAGTAGATGTGTCAGTATCGTCTCGATCGTAGAACTAGTACCTGATGCTGTCCTGCGAGGCTCGCCGAGAGCCGATTCCGAGAAACTGGACACAGGACGGCCCAGATTAGACACAGACGAGCGACAGGCAGGGGAGAGCGCGGGGCAGGATGAGGCGGGATGGGCCGTACAACTACTCGTACATATTCAAGACATCATAATCGGTGCGAAGTGTGGGCGGGGACGCGATTTTAGGGGGTTGTGATACCCTAGAGATGGATGCGTGGCCTTCTTTGGTGTCGAACACTTGGCATGAGCGGTCAATAGCGACACAATGTCTAACGCCGAGATGAAAAAAGCTGATAAAAAACCCCTTGCGTTATATGTCTTGGGAGGCAGTGTCGTTAATGTAGAGAATAAAATCATGTTTTATAACAATGTCCCCATCGTGGGTGGACGTGATAGGAGCCGTGGTAACTGGGAAAAGGTTCGTCTGTCGGGGACCTATATGATCTAGTGGACTGAGAGGTATGTTGACGTTTACCGGTTGGCCACATATTTCTATGCTGTGAGTATTCTAGATCTCTCATCCACCTCTTTTGTTATGGACTGATTAGTCTTGTCTACTGTTATGCAAATTTCATCCACTACTACTGTGCCGGCATATAAAAGGCATTCCATATTAGGGTGGCCCCATGACAGATATGTACATCAATATTATTATGTATAACGAATCCATCTCTGATGTAAGTGTGTTCAGGCGCAGACATACATGATATTACTAAGTGGATGAGGTTTTATTACCAGAGATCCATTACATATGCATAGTAACGTCCTCCCTCACGGGCCAGTGTGTTTTAATTTTTTTCCTGTTACATGACGTGTTCTTTTCACAGGGATGCATGGGTGTAGGCAAAGTCTTGTCCTTTGCTCGACAACAGTTCACTCCGAAAAGAATGTGAATGGTGACTGTCGACTAGATGTTCTTGTCTGTGTTATTGTTTTGTTCTTGATGTGTGTACATACAAACCAATATGTGTATAACAGACACAGTATGGCCACGCACCTCTTATCATGTATATGCGTTGATTTGGTTTGGTAACTTCTTGGTACTAATGAGGTCATAATGCCAGACAACGCTGTAGATATCTTGGCCATTGAATGGATCATTCATACTTCTGTTGTAATGTCTTTGTAACATATTTGTATTTTGTCAAATGGTACGTACGTCCCTAATGAGTGGAGTGACTTGGTACGAGACTTTATGATTCATGAATTATTCATACATACACAGTCATGGCTGCTGTCCCCCACAAGCCATTGGAGTGGAGTTTGGGACGAGAATAGTGGAGGTGTCAGGTCAGAAAATCACGCTACAGATCTGGACCACTGCCAAGTCCATGAGAATTTCGTAACTATCGACTGCCTATAATAGACGTCCCTGTTGGTTCATAATTAACATGCTGTTTGACAAGTGGCTCCTCATAAACGTTACTATATGGACGCAATGCAACATATTTTCTCGTGGGCACGTATTAGTTCGTTAGTAGCACATGTATGCATTATGGTATCGGGGCCGATCAATCCTGCATCTTCAGACACCTAGGCAGGCAAGCTTCGCTAGCCACCTCTGTCAGCAATGACAATTCAGGTGTCCTACATGCAGGAATTGTATATACACAGCACTGTTGTATCTCTCTCCTCTCGCTCTCTCGCCTCTCGATCCAATCAGAGCGGTCCACTCGAGCTACTTCCAGAGGAGCGCTGGAGCTCTGATGTCTATATGACAATCACCAAGACGAAGCACGTACAATCAACACCTGAGCAGCTGGCTCACTGACGCCATGCACGATACCTCACCAATATCCCAACACTGTAGTGTGTAAGACTCTCTGTTTCAAACACCAAATAGAAGTGAGAGTGTTTTTGAGTATTCTTCCTTTTCTTCCCTGACTAGTAGCATAATTATTATCGTCTCAGGGGTTTTGGGTATGCAGTTAGACCAGAGAATTCACCGACCATGTGTAGATGATAGTGACTGAGATTTTAAGATGTGTCCCGGTATAGAGGTGGTCGATCCTCTCTACAAAGGACTCCCTGAGATGACCGCCCTGCCTTAATTCTTCTATCTACCAACTTTTGTAAGTTCTGCAATAGGTGTTCCTCTTTCCTAACATTCTGTCTGTCTGTTGTCATGTTCACTGTCCTGTTAAGACGGTGTCAAATCTGCAGTAACTATGTGATTGGCTGGGTAACATGATTATCATGTGATCAGGTGTACTATATAGACTGGTATTGTCTTTACTCACATGATCTTCATTTGCTGCAGTCATATTCTTGATCTAGGAAACAAATCTGATCTAGAGGGACAGGTATAATCCTCTCCTCTCGTATACCAACATAGTCTCCTCATAGATCCTTACCTGTATCGGTTCTCTTTCTTGCAGTTTTATGGAGTCAGATTTGTATGGCCTAGATTATAAAGGCAATAGTTGTGCTGATTTTTTTAGTGTGCCGTTGGATTGTAGGCTGTTTCCTGTTCTGTCTAATAACAGCGTCCATTCTGTGTTGTATTCTTCTGCAGCGGGACGTGCCGTACCAGGAGCTAAGCAGTGTGCCATGATGAAAATGGTAAGCTCGTTGACTATAACCAGTCTTTACTACTTTCTATTACTGTCTTTTCATACCATATAGGGTTACCTATTCCTGGAGAGCTCGTGCGAAAACGTAAGTATCTGACAACACGTCCATTTTCACTCTATTGCTGGACGTCAACATCACACTTACACCATTATATTTGTTACAGGTGAGAATAATGTTGAAGACGTCTTTATTGAGACAGCTAAGAAGATCTAACCCAAAACATTCAGCGATCGGAAAGTTAAGACACGTAGGGGCATCAGCAACAACATGCCATTAATATTTTGAGCACGCAGGAATATATATACATAAGCCACAGAATTATGGAGTTTTGGTCATTTTTAGTCAGATTCTATATAACGGCATTATTTCTCTTCCTCGCTTCCATCCTCGCCTTCCTTTTCCTAAGCGTTGACCTAACGCAGCAGACACTGGTGTCCAGCTAAAGAACACACGACTGCTCCGCAGACCCGCAAACAGACACAGCAAAGAATCAAAGACGTTGCAACTCTAAATCCTCTTCTGGAAACCACTAGTTTTAGTTTCGCAATGTCATCATTAATCCAAAATTGTTCACATAAATGTGTATATAATAAGCAACACTACAATGAGGATGTTGAACGTGTTGCTTGCTGTGCACTCTTCAAAGATCCCTGATTGATAAATACTCTATGTGTGTCGGTCTCCATTGGCTTAATTCGTCCCACTCTTAATTACTTGTGGGCGTGGTTCGCTGAAGTGTGCGGCAAATAGCAATTCGTAGCGAGTATGAGCGGAGAAGTAGTCGAGAGAGAACCTTCTAATCCGAAGGAATCTTGGGGATGACCAATTAACCCATGGCAGTCGACAATATCGACCAGAAGATAGCAAACGTCATGTCTATCCCTACAGAACCACCTAGTACACAGCTAGCATAGTATCTCAAATTACTTGACTTCTCTTTCCTTCAGAAAAGTCCAGCAGACCTTAGGGAACAAGGTTGACCAGCTTGCATACGGTATTTTATTTATAAACTGGCCCAGTATTTTGAGTGAATGCGTGCCCTATCACAGCTAACGGCATCTGTCAGAGAACAAAAGTTCCTTTTGATCTGGACAACCTACATAAGAACACTAGCCAACTCGAGAAAGAGGTCCACTGGTCAATTACATCCTCCAAACACGTACATATACAAGATTCATTCATTGGACCAACTACTTTCCACCACAAAGGGCAAAGTGTTCAAAAAAACACAACGATGTATGTGTTTAGGGTCCGATTAGAACTGCACAAATCGGTGGGGATAGAGACCGCAAGAACACAACGTTCAGCAATTGAGGCAGGAGAACTTAGCTCTCGTGTTTTTGTGTTGGTGTACGTAGCAATTATCCTGTACATCAGTTTTGTGTGAATCACAACACTGGTTTGTACCTTGTATCTGAAACCCAGATTACAATCTTGTTTTCTAATTTCCAAGTGCTTTTCTGACATGTCATTGAATTCCATGTTCCACTACGCAAACACTTACAACCACGATGAGCACAGTGCGCGCAGAACCATACGTACCGCCGCCAACGTCCTCCACTTCCGCCCCACCATCACCTATGAAACTGGAAACAGGGCCCAACAACCTTGCGCCAACAGAACAGAACGAGCTGCATAGAGACTGCAATCCACGGCGTGACTCTAAACAAAATAGGGGGCTCGAGTGTCCCAACCCCAAACCATACTGTCATTTCGTCTCGTAAGCGCGGAGTCTACCATTCCGACCACCCCACAACCATAACTTCCCGTGATTCTTCTTCTGGCTGCATGCTTTAGCTCGGGAAACCGTAAAAAGACGCTACCAGTCGCTGTAACCGACTTATCCTTCTGATCTCGCAGGTGGTGTGGGCTTGCTTGGAGTGACCGCATTTCCACTCCGTAATCCCCTCCATTCTTCGCGTGAGTATAACGCTCCAGAAGGCATGATCCGAAATAGCTAGAAACAAGCAATCGCCGCACAAACTACCTTGAACAGTAGGCTGAGAGACCGGTGTCTAGCGGCATTGTTCGCTCATACTACGCACGTGTTATCAAGAACCATGGTGAAAGACAAGGCAAGTTCTACTGTAAGTGTAAATGTCAGTATTACAAACCTAACTACCACGTAGGTACATACAGATATTAAGCAAGTGTGGCCACCCCTAAACCAGTCAGGCAAAAACATTTCCAATCCTAACCAAACACATCACACTGCGACTTCCGTTCACCGGAAATAATTTCTTCCCAGCAAAAAAAAAAAACCCTGCTTGGGGATTGCCCCAAATGCACTCCGGGGAGCTGAAGAAGGCGTATCGTAAGATGGCCCTCAAGTACCACCCAGACAAGAACGAAGACCCTGGGGCGGAGGAGAAGGTAATGCTCTAGTGTCTATATACAACTGTATATTGAAATCTAGAGTTACACACGAAAATTGAAGGTGGCATGTGGTATGCATACACGTGTATACAATTGTTGCCATGTGGCTGTTGTACATTATGTAATTGTGCCTAATGTACCATGATGTAATTGTGAACACTGCCAAACATTCCTCATACTACTGCATGCTCTACACTACCCCAGTTCAAGCAGATAGCCTCGGCCTACGAGGTTCTGGCAGACGAGGAGAAGAGGAAGCTATACGACAAGGGAGGAGAGGAGGCCCTCAAAGAGAGCGGAGGAGGGGGTCACGATGCCTACGACATCTTCGACATGTTCTTTGGTGGAGGAGGGAGGAGAGGGAAGAGGGAGAACCGCACCAAGGACATGATCTACCCACTAAAGGTATAATATACGTACTCTATACATACTCTGAACTGTGTGTACATACATTCTGTGTGGAGATGTGCATTATTTAGAGAGATGTCCCGCGTGTTGTGGAACTAGTGCTGTTTGTTACGTGCATGAAGTTGTAAGGTGTCAATAGTTGATTCACTTTGTGTGCGACTAATGACCACAAAAGCCAGAGATCGAATCTTGGTCAATCAGACGTCGAGATTCACCGAGATCTCCCAGCTGTCGTGTCTGACTCAGACTGGGGGTGTGTGTCTGATGCCACTATCATCTGCAGGTGTCTCTGGATGACCTCTACAATGGGAGAGTGTCAAAGCTGGCCGTTCAGAGAAACATCATCTGTGACGAGTGCAAGGGGAAGGGAGGAAAAGAGGTGAGTTTTCAATCACCTGTCAACTTTCCGTTCTCGCAGTATCGGCCTGTCGGAATTTTCCTCGCTAAATCGTTCCCTATGATTGGCTAGCTAGTGAAGCGAGCCTATTTAGCTAGTAATTGTCTAAATTACACGATTTTAAAATGTACGTGTATATACATCTAGCCCTATCCGACACTGCCAACCTTACAACAATGTCCTACATGTAACCCCCTGTACCTCGCCAGTAGCGCTTGCGCCGCCCCTGGCTTCTACCAGCTAGGGTCTCGTTGTCTTTCTTACGAGTCTCAGCACATTCTGCCGTGCTTGCTGCATGTCCATGTGTGTTACTAGCTCACCATAATGTATTGCGTTTGTTTCAGTATGTGCTATTCTTATGTTGCACAGGGTGCTGTTGTACACTGTGAAGAATGCAATGGGCAGGGCGTTGTGGTAAGTGGATGAAAAGCTTCAGAGTACTGTACGTATAATGTGCAAAATGTAGCCAAATTGACCGTTACACCCAAAACACGCAACGACACCTAACACCTTTTTCTCTTCATCTCTCTCTCTCCTCTCTCACTTCCCTCTCTCTCTCCTCCCCTACCTTCAATCCCCTAACTCCCACCTCTCTTTCTCCACCCTCTTAAAACTCCCTAAACACCCTACCCTCTCTTCCCCACCCTCACACCAACACTCCTCATACCTCTGATCCCCTCTCTCTCCTCTTCTCTCTCCCTCTACTCCCTCACACAACTCATCCTCTCCACAACAAACCCGCCACTCAAGTCCCTACTCTCTCTCTCCTCTATCCACCTCTACCAACTACATCCCCTTCCGCCTCCACAATCCTCTCCCGCTCCATGTAGATTCTATTAAATACTAGGATCCAGGATTTGTGCAGCAGTTTCAGCAGCGATGCGACGTGTGTCGGGGACGTGGGGAAATCATCAACGGTGAGCCCTGTCGCCACACACTGTTATTGTGACAGAGAAAGAGAGAGCGGTTGTGTTTTGTGAGTTGTCCAAAAAGGGTTCCGGATAATACTCAGAAATCAATTCCTATACCAGTTTCCAAAGGTGACCTCTCTGCCTGCATTGTATCAGTCAATGGCCCAGAAACTGATGATCTAGCTATCTTAACATTATGATGCACGATGCAACTTGTTGCGTGATATTTACTGCAACTTCAGAATCACATACGTTCAACAAACCCATCACACACAACTTTGGTCTTATGTTGTGTAATATGGCCTTTAGTCGTGCAATCTTTTATTGCTGTTTGTCTGTCTGTGCTTGTGTCCAGAGAAAGATCGGTGCAAGAAGTGTAACGCTGACAAGGTGATACAAGACAGAAAGGTCCTGGAGGTCAACATCGATAAAGGAATGAAAGACGGCCACAAGTTTAACTTTCGCGGAGAGAGCAACCAGGTCTGTGTGTGTGTAGATCGCTGACTGAAGGCCAACGTATACTGGCCAACGTATACTAGCCAATGTACCCTGGTAACTTTGTTGCAAGTTACAAAAAGTTTCAATGTATGGGTCGATTGTTGTGTGCAAAAAAAAAAAAAAAAAAACAAAACCAAACTAAAAACCACCAAAAACACAAGGTCAAAAAAATACAAAAAAAAAAAAAAAAAAAAAACAAACAAAAAAAAACAAAAAAACCCAACAACAAAACATAAACAACAAAAAAAACAAAAAAACCAAAAAAAAAAAAACCCAACACTTTTTCATGGAACAATGTTGCCGTGTGTACCATACATTGAGTTTGCATGATGGCTTTTGTCTCAAATAATTGGGTGGTGTATGCTGGAGTCTTAACTTTATGTATAAATCCAGCTTGGTGTGGATCCTTACCACTACCGTAACATAACATATGCAAGTCTTAAAAGTGCAAGTCTTTACCATGTGTATTTACTGTGTTACCATAGGAGTCGGTCGAGAAACTGGTGCATCATAATTGTTCCTCGCGAGAATAACACAATGGTCTTTCACTTCGAAGGGAGCT